GGAATATAAGCATGGGGGCTCTGTGTCCCCCGTGGAGAGAGGCCTGGGAAAGAGAGGTAGGGTAGCCAGAGGTCAATGAGGGGTGGCCAAGAGATGGGTGGCCCCTGGGCGGAGGGACCCAGTTACTCCTGGCGCTTTCCCCCTCCTGGGTTTTGGCATCAGAGGTTAGGACAACGGAGGAGAAAGGAAGGAAACAGGCCAGACCCAATCTCCCACAGGTGAGGACTGTTTATTGAGATAGAGCAGCGAGGGGTCACAACTGTTGGATCCGAGGCTGTGCAAGGGGGTGGAAGTGGAGTTGGGCTTATAGGGGGTTCTGAGCAAGAAGGTAGACACTAATGAGGAAGCCGTTAGGTCCAGGGAGGTGGAGCCACAGTGGACTGCTGGTGGCCGGTTTTCGGCGGATTGCTCTGCCCATGTCACGCATGTTTGCACATACGTGGAGTTTTGTCTGGTATCCATATGCAGCTGGGATAAGAGGGTGGGGGGAGAGGGTCCATCCTTTCCTGGGCACTGGCGCTCTACCACTTGAGTCACAGCACCACTTCTGGCTTTTTGCTGATTCTTTGGAGATAAAAGAGGCTCATGGACTTTCCTGCCCAGGCTGGCTTCAAACCGTAATCCTTAGAGATCAACCAACTGAGTAGCTGGGATTACAGGCAGGGCCTGGCGAGTCAATCCCTTTTCCTTCTAGAGTCTCTGGGTCCTGTCCTAACTGACATCCTGTAACCAGGGGCAGGGTGGGGGGGACCAGGAGGGATCCCAGGGAGACTGTCCTTCAGCCTCTGCCCTCCAGCCTCTCCAGGGTAGATCTGTGGTAGACAGGAAGCACTTCCCAGAGGTTGGAGGAAATGAGTTGAGATGTTCTCTTCCCCTCTGCCCCCACACCTGGGGTCCTAGGAGAGAACTTTCCACCGGGATCAAAGTATCCACTCAGCACATGACTGACCTCCAGGCCTGGCCTGTACTGGCCAGCTGGGCGGCTCGTCTCTCATTCTGCCCTGGCACGAGGGTAGGTATGGACAGTCTCGGGACTCCAGGCGTGGTTCGTGTGGAATTTGGGGTGCAAGTTTTAAAAAAGCTAACACAGCCAGGCACCAGTGGCTCACACCTGTCATCCCAGCTACTCAGGAGGCTGAGATCTGAGGATGGGGGTTCAAAGCCAGCCTGGGCAGGAAAGTCCATGCGAGTCTTATCTTCAATGAAGTGCCATAAGTGAGCAAAAATGTTCAGGGACAGCACCCAGAACCCTGCGATCAAGCACCAGGATTGGCACGCATGCACATGTGCGTGCACATACACATACACACATGCTACAACAATGGGTTGGAGTTGTTTATTGCAGTTTTCTTGTTCATCCTCATGGCAAATCAGGTGGGGAAACTGAGGCCCAAGGAAAACAGATGGTTCTGTTCTGCTGGCTGGAACTCAGTGGCTTGACCCTGGCAGACACAGAAGGCAGATCAAAGTTCCCAGCCTGGCCCAGCATGTTCTGTTCTGCTCGGTCAAAAGACTCAGCAGGCCAGGCCGCTATGTCCGCCCTCCTCCCTCTGCCTTATCTCTGTGTCCCGGGGCCAAAACGCTCATCTGTCTTTTTTATGTTTTGGCAATAATAGTCGTTGGCCCCGTGGCCTCACGTCTAAGCCAGGCACTTCACTCTACCCCCCCCATCCCCTCCCTCCATCCTACCTCCTTCTCTTCTGTAGCCCCGAAAATTCCTGGCCTGGGGGAGACACTACAGGAATGTTGCAAGGCAGACTGCAGGTGAGACACCTGGAGGGACTTCCAGTGTCTTTCCTCTGGTCCAAATCCGTTTTGTTTTCACATTTCCCACGAATGACGGGAAATGCCGGCACTCCCCCACGCCCGCCCTGCTCTGTGAGGGTGCTCCTCTCCTTCCAGAAAATTCAGTGACTGCCTTTGCTTTTATTCAAGAAACCCAGAACCTTCCCCCCTCCACCCCCAGAGCTGACCTTGCACAATAGATGGATTGATAAGGCTCGGGCTGGGGTCAGAAGGAAGAGAGGGAGGGGACGGAGGGAAGGGGGTGCGGGGGGGGGGGGCTGTTGGGCGCTGTCTGGTAAGGGGAGGAGATCTCACTGGCTCCGTCCTGGCTTTTGCTGTGCAGTGATTTTAGGCAGGAATGGCATGTATGCTTGCACGCTGAGCTAACATGGGGTGGGAGGAAGGCGAAGGTTGACTTTGTTTTTCTTTTTTTTTTTTGGGTCCGGTCGTGGGGCCTGAACTCTGGGCCTGGGCGCTGTCCCTCAGCTCTTCAGCTCAAGGCTAGCGCTCTACCACTTGAGCCACAGTGCCACTTCTGGCCTTTTCTGCTTATGTGGTGCTGAGGAATCGAATCCAGGGCCTCAGGCATGCAAGGCAAGCGCTCTACCACTGAGCCACCTTCCCAGCCCCTTGACTTTGTTTTTCTTTTTTGTGCTGGTCCTGGGAGTTGAACTCATGGCCCGAGCACTGTCTCTGAACTGCTTTTGCTCAGAGCTGGTGGTGTTCTACCACTTGAGCCACAGCACCATTTCTGGCTCTGTGTGTGTGTGTGTGTGTGTGTGCGCGTGCGTGCTTGTGCCCATGTGTGCAAGTGAGCACGTGCGTGTGATTAATTGGAGATAAGAGTCTTATGGACTTTTCTTCCTAGGCTGGCTTTGAATGTGATCCTTATATCTCAGCCTCTTGAGTAGCTAGGATGACAGGTGTGAACCACTGGCTCCTAGTGATAATCTCATTTTTTCTAAAGATTTTATATATGTTTTGCTCCTTTTTATAAAACTATTTGTTGCTATAATGTGAGAAATTCCTCATGTCATTAAGTATTCTTCCCCCGGCCCCCCCCCCCCCCCCCCCCCCCCCCGCCCAGTCCTGGGGCTTGAACTCTGGGCCTGGGCACTGTCCCTGAGCTCTTCTTCAGCTCAAGGCGAGTGCTCTACTGCTTGGGCCACAGCGCCACTTCTGATTTTCTGGTGGTTCATTGGAGATAAGAGTCTCACAGACTTTCCTGCCTGGGCTGGCTTTGAACTGTGATCCTCAGATCTCAGCCTCCTGAGCAGCTAGGATGACAGGCGTGAGCCACTGGGACCCGGTCCATCAGAATCTAATCTCCAAAGACCCAGCAAAAAATAAAACAGACAGGGAGGTGTGGCTCAAATGGCAGAGAGCCAGCCTTGAGCAAAAAAGCTTAGTGAGAATGGGAGGGCCTGAGTTCAAGCCCCAGTACTAGGAGACACACACACCCACGCACACACAGCACATGTGCACATGTGCGCACACATGTGCACACGCACACACACACACACGTGCGCGCACACACGCGCACACACGCACACACACAATGGCAGAGTCTCCTTGTGTCTCCCAAGCTGGCCTAGGTTCTTCTGCCTAACCCTCCGGAGTGCTGGGATTACAGCATGCACCACCAGGCCTGGTTCTGGGGGAGGCGGTGGAAAGCTCATTAGGAGAGCCCAGGGCATGTGAGCCAGCCTGAGGCGGGAGGTCATGCTCGAGGTCACCCAGCTGGACTCAGGCGGAATCTGGGCAGGAAGCCTGAAGGTCCCTTCCCAGGGGAGAGGTGGAAACTGAAAGAGGAGGCGGGGGGCTTGGAACACCCCGGCTCTATCAGCCCGTAACCTTCATGAGTGTAACTTTAGCTCCGAGCCCACGGCCCACAGGGCATGGCGGGGGGGGGGGGGGGGTAAACAGACTGGGTAGATGATGGCTGTGACCATGGCAAACCTGGGTACAGGGTAACAGGATTGCACACCCCACAGGTCTCTTCCAGCTGGCCAGAGGTTCCCAACAGGCCTGCTTGGCTCAGGGAGCTGAGGCCAGTAAAGGCCAGGCTCTGGCAGTGAGGCCATCCGTAGGCCTGGACTCTGATTCCCATCATGAACAGTGTGAGCTTGCAGATCGACCCACCTTCCTGGGATCCTTCCTTGCTCCTTATTTTCTTCCTCCAAGAAGGAAGGGAGACCACTTCTCAAAAGAGCCTGGACAAGCCAGGCGCCGGTGGCTCACACCTGTCATCCTAGCTACTCAGGAGGCTGAGATCTGAGGATCGTGGTTCAAAGCCAGTCAGGACAGAAAAGTCCATGAGACTCTTATTGTAAGCACCAACCCAGAAAACCACTCGGACACACAATCACAGAGAAGAAAGGAGTGTTGAATGTCAGCTGGATGCGGCTAGGCTATCTCTTGCAGGATAGAGATTAGCAAACTACTCTGGAGCCATAGAAGTAGATATAGTGTCAGGAGTCTGAAGGTAGAAGGGGCTGGGGCAGGAAATGTTGGTAGTCACAGCTGGACACTGGAGATATCAGACGGCCAGGGCAGGACATTCTAAAGCTCGCTTGCAGCCAGGGAAAACATCCTATGTCTGGTACATAGCAGAGAAAATCCATTTTACAGCTGCCATGTAGCAGGGAAAACATCCTATAGCAGACACAATACCTTCTATAAGTAGTAGCTTGCAACCAGACACTAGAACCAGGACTAGGCGTCTGGACTCCGTCGCTGACACAGCCAGGGTTGGTGGAAATAGAAAACTGTGGCCAGGTCTGGGTTGTGCATGACCCAGGATGAAGGCTATCAACCCAAAATAGGGGTGAATAAGCTTACACTTATCTCCAGTGAACCACCAGAAAACCAGAAGTGGGGCCGTGACTCAAAGTGGTAGCGTGCTAGCCTTGAGCAAAAAGAGCTCAGGGACAGCGCCCAGGCCCTGGATTCAAGGCCCAAGACTGGCCAAAAGAGAAAAGAAAAAGCTAAGGGATAGTGCCTAGGCCCTGAGTTCAAGCCCCAGGACTGGCCAAAAAAAAAAAAAAAGGAAAGATCTGGAAGCTTCTAGATCTCCAGGGCCTGTAACTCCTCCTCAACCGCCACCTGCCTTCTTCCTCCATGGTTTCTTATCATTCAAGGCCGAGCCAGGGGCGCCCCCCCCCCCCCCAGCCTGCCCCAACCCTGGCTCACCTGCCAACCTGCCCTTGGCCCAGACCCACAGCGCCAGAGGCGGCAGTCGGGGTGGAGTTGCTGCGCAGCAGGCCTGGCTCCTCTGTGGACGGGCCTGGCGGCGTGAGCAAGCTGCTGTCTCCCCTACAGAAGAGGCGCTGTGGACCACGCGGGCGGACGGGCGGGTTCGCCTACGCATGGACCCCATCTGCCCCCAGCCCCCCTACACCGTGCACAGAATGTTCCACGAGGCTCTGGAGAAATACGGGGACATCACCGCACTGGGCTTCAAGCGCCACGACAAGTGGGAACATGTCTCCTACTCCCAGTACTACCTGCTCGCCCGCAAAACTGCCAAGGGCTTCCTAAAGGTGAGGGAGGACCCCCCCAAAAAACATCTCCCCAGTCCTCAGCCTGACCAAGGCCTTGAGACATGATCGTGGCTAGTCGGGTGCTGGTGGCTCACGCCTGTCATCCCAGCCACTCAGGAGGCTGAGATGTGAGGATCATGGTTCAAAGCCAGCAGGGCAGGAAAGTCTGTGAGACTCTGATCTCCAACTAAACAGTGGAAAAAAAGATAAGTTATAAGTGGAGTTGTGGTTCAACTGGTCGAGAGCCAGCCTTGAGCAGGAGAAGCTCAGGGACAGTGCCCAGGCACTGAGTTCAAGTCCTAGTGAGGCTTTGTGGAGTGGCTGATCCTTTGGTGGGGGGGTTCTCTGGCTGCTGGGGGGGTCGTCCCCCGTATTCATGGAGAGGTCTGGGGGAGATGCTCCTGCCCTACCTGGCTCACCTGGACCCTTGTGGCCTACAGCTCGGCCTGGAGAGGGCTCACAGCGTGGCCATCCTGGGCTTCAACTCCCCGGAGTGGTTCTTCTCGGCCGTGGGCACTGTGTTCGCAGGGTGAGTCTCCAGGGAGGCTTGGGATGCTGGGGAATTGGTGGTGGGTAGAAAGTGTATACATAGTCAGCCGAGCGCTGGTGTGCACGCCTGTCATCCCAGCTACTCAACAGCATGAGAGCTGAGGATCATGGTTCAAAGCCAGCCCGGGACAGACAAATCTGTGAGATTCTTATATTCCTCTGAATCCGTGAAAATCCACAAGTGTGGAGGTATGGGTCAAGTGGTAAAGAACCAGCCTTAGCAAAAATGCTAATAGAGAATGTGAGGCCCTGAGTTCGAGTCTTAACTACATATAACAAGTAGAGAGAGCCAGGCACAAGTGGCCCACATCTGTCACCCTAGTCACTCAGGAGGCTGAGATCTGAGGATTGCGGTTCGAAGCCAGTCAGGACAGGAAAGTCTGCCAGACTCTTATCTCCAAGGAACCACCAGAAAACCGGAAGTGGCGCTGTGGCTCAAGTGGTAGAGAGCTTTGAGTGAAAGAGCGCAGGGACAGCGCCCAGGCTCAGAGTTCAAGCCCCATGACTGACCAAAAAAGAAAAAAAGTAGCGGGCCATTCTAGCTCTCCTCTAGGGTCTCTCTGGAAGGCTGGAGAATGCTGGTGAGGCCTGCGGGCTCTGCGGGGAGGGTCTGTGGGGAGGGCTGTGGGGTGGGGCCGTGGGGCCGAGTCTGAGTCTCCCGTGTCTGCAGCGGCATCGTCACCGGCATCTACACCACCAGCTCCCCTGAGGCATGCCGGTACATCGCCCACGACTGCCGCGCCAACATCATCGTGGTCGACACGCAGAGGCAGCTGGAAAAGATCCTGAAGGTTCCAGGGCTCGGGGGAAGGGTGGCGGGCAGCGGGCCAGGACACCTTTCTCTCCACAGACCCTCAACTTCCAGAGCAACATACACATACACACACACACACACACACACATGCACACACAGACACACACACACGCACACATGCACACACACATGCACACACAGACATACATAGACACACACAGAGACATACATGGACACACACAGACACACACAGGCACACACACGCACGCACACAGACACATGCACACATAGACACACACACGCACACATAGACACACACATGCACACACACATGCACACACAGACATACATAGACACACACAGAGAAATACATGGACACACACAGACACACACATACACACACATACATAGACACACACAGAGACACACACACAGACACACACATACATAGACACACTCAGAGACACACGTACACACACAGACACACAGACACGCACATACAGACACACACAGACACGCACACACACATACGCACACACAGACACATGCACACACAGACACACACACGCACACATAGACACACACATGCACACACACATGCACACACAGACATACATAGACACACACATAGACATACATGGACACACACAGACACACACAGGCACACACACGCACGCACACAGACACATGCACACACAGACACACACACACGCACACATAGACACACACATGCACACACACATGCACACAGACATACATAGACACACACAGAGACATACATGGGCACACACAGGCACACACATACACACATACATAGACACACACAGAGACACACACAGACACACACATACATAGACACACACACAGACACACACAGAGACACACGTACACACACAGACACACAGACACGCACATACAGACACACACAGACACGCACACACATACGCACACAGACACACACAGAGACACACGTACACACACAGACACACACAGAGACACACACAGACACACAGACACACATGCACACACACAGACACACACATATACATGCACACACACACACGCACATACAGACACACTCAAACACACAGACACACACACATACACACAGACACAGACACACACATATACAGACACACACACACAGATACACAAATATACACACACAGACACATGTACACACAGACATACACAGAGACAGACACACATACATATACACACACAGACACGCACAGAGACACAGACACAGAGACACAGACACAGAGACACAGACACACACATACACAACACAGACACACAGACATATACACACATATACACACATGGACATACAGACATGCACATGGACACATGTATACACATGGACACATGCACAGACACACAGGCATACATGTGCACAGACATGGACACATAGACACACACATGGACACACAGGGACACACAGACACATGCTCACATGGGCATACATATACACATATACACACACAATACAGACATGGGCACAGACACACATGGACACACACATACACCTATACATGCATGGACATGCATACACACGTGGACACATGCACCTGGAAACACAGACACACAGGTACACATGAACATATACACACACAGGTACACACAGAGACACATATACACCTATGCACAACACACATGTATACATGGATGCACATATACACACATATAAAACATACACAAATATATACACAGTTAACGTACATACACAAAAAACACTTTATTTTTTGCACATAAATTTATTTTTCAAATAATTCGAACATTTACCTGATTCTAGAGTACAAACTAAGATACACTGAGCATTTCAGCTTCCCGCTATCTCCTTACTCCTACTCCATTTTTCTTCCTTTCTGTAATTATTATTGTTATTATTTTGCCAGCTCTGGGGCTTGAACTCAGGGCCTGGGCGCTGTCCCTGAGCTTCTTTAGCTCAAGGCTAGCACTCTACCACTTGAGCCACAGCTCCACTTCTGGCTTTTTCTGTGTATGTGGTACTGAGGAATGGAACCTAGGGCTTCAAGCATGCTGAGCAAGCACTCTACCACTAAGCCACCTTCCCAGTCCCTGTAATTAATTCTGTACATGTGTGTCAGTCATGGGGCTTGAACTCTGGGCCTGGGCGCTGTCCCTCAGCTCTTCAGCTCAAGGCGAGCGCTCTACCACTTGAGCCACAGCACCACTTCCAGTTTCCCAGTGGCTCATTGGAGATCAGAGTCTCATGGGCTTTCCTGCCCAGGCTGGCCTTGAGCTGCGATCCTCAGGTCTCAGCCTCCTGAGTAGCTGGGATGACAGGGGTGAGCCACTGGCGCGCGGTTGTAACTAGCTTTTGGGTTACCTTTGGAGTCCCTGTTGGGACATGCAAGCGGGTGCCTCCCTGCATAAGGGCGCCCACTGCCACCTGTGTCCCCGGGCCCGGCTCCTGCCACATGGCCGCGGCGTGGCGTGTGTGTAACACGGCAGACACAGCTGCATCTGTGCGGCCGCTCTTCCTCTCCCCTCCGTCCCCCTCACTCTGTCTGTCTGTCTGTCTGTGTCCCCGCTTCTCTTCCTGTCCCTCTGCCCGCCTTTCTGTCTCTCCGTCCGTCTCCTCTCCCTCTGGTACGCTAGTGCGGCCCGTGCTTCACCGAGCCCTGCCGTCCAGTGCTGCCCCCGCCCGCCTTCCAGCTCCCCGAATCCCCACGGCGTGGACGAGGACGAGGGCTGGCAGGGGCCGCGCGGGGACCTCCGCCAGCGGCGTCCTCATGTCCGCGCGTGTCCACGACCGCGCTCGGCGGGCGCCGGGCTGAGAGCGGCTTGTTTCCATGCAGATCTGGAGGGACTTGCCCCACCTGAAGGCAGTGGTCATCTACCAGGAGCGCCCGCCGGAGCACGCGGCCAATGTGTACACGGTACACGGCAGGCCCGCCCACTCCCCCCCGCCAATCACGCCACGCCTGGGCAGGCAGGCCCGCCCACTCCCCCCCCCCCCCGCCAATCACGCCACGCCTGGACAGGCAGGCCCGCCCACTCCCCCCCTCCCGCCAATCGCCCCACGCCTGGACAGGGAGGCCCGCCCACTCCCCCTCCCCCCCGCCAATCACGCCACGCCTGGACAGGCAGGCCCGCCCACTCTCCCTCCCCCCCGCCAATCACCCCACGCCTGGACAGGGAGGCCCGCCCACTCCCCCCTCCCGCCAATCACCCCACGCCTGGGCAGGCAGGCCCGCCCACTCCCCCCCTCCCGCCAATCACGCCACGCCTTTGTGCCCCCCTGACTGCAGATGGAGGAGGTGAGGGAGCTGGGGCAGGAGGTGATGGAGGAGACGCTCGATGCCATCATTGCGGCCCAGCAGCCCAACCAGTGCTGCTCGCTGGTCTACACGTCAGGCACCACCGGGAACCCGAAGGGCGTCATGCTCAGTCAGGACAGCGTAGGAGCAGGGCTGGGCTGGGCAGGGGGAGGGGGAGGGAGGGAGGAGGAGGGGTGGCGGGCTGGAGCAGCAGCCGCGGAGAGGGGAAAGCAGCTGGGAGGAGGCCTGTCCCCCAGGGGTCTCTAGAATGTTTCCAGATGCTCTAGCAGGAGGGTATGGTGGTGCATTCCTGTAATCCCAGCTACTCAAGAGGTTGAGACCTGAGCATGGAGGTTCAAAGCCAGCCCGGGCAAGAAAGTCCGTGAGACTCTTATCTCCAATGAGCCACCAAAAAATCACCAAAAGTGGAGCTGTGGCTCAAGTGGGAGAGACAAAAAGCCAATCTGGGCCCTGAGTTCAAGTCTCAGTACACACACACACACACACACACACACAGCCCTAGGCAGGTGGCCACTCTAAAAGTCTCCCCCAAAGTAGCCGCAGTGGTGACTGGGCCGGGCTGGCCGTGGACCCCGCTGGGCTTTTGCCACTGCCCTGCAGATCACGTGGACAGCGCGGTATGGCAGCCAGGCCGGCGACATTCAGCCCGCCGAGGTCCAGCAGGAGGTGGTGGTCAGCTACCTGCCCCTCAGCCACATCGCCGCCCAGATGTACGACCTGTGGACGGGCATCCAGTGGGGGGCCCAGGTGTGCTTTGCGGAGCCCGATGCCCTGAAGGTCAGTCGCTGCCCTTGGGGGGGGCCACAGGGCAGTGCCCGTGGGGCCAGGCCAGTCCCTGTTCATGGGGCCGCCTGGGCGTGTGCATCTCCTAGCCACAGTCCACTCAGCTGACTGCCTTTCACCCTGTGTGACTCAGATGACAAGGAGGCCCAGGGCTGGTGGCTCACCCCTATAATCCCAGCAACTCAGGAGGCTGAGATCTGAGGATCGAGGTTCAAAACCAGTCTAGTCAGGAAAGTCTGTGAGACTCTTATCTCCAATGAACCACCAGAAAACTGGAAGTGGTGCTGTGGCTCAAGGGGTAGAGCGCTCGCCTTGAGCTGAAGAGCTGAGGGACAGCGCCCAGGCCCAGAGTTCAAGCCCCACGACCAATCAAAAAAAAAAAAGGTTGGGCACAGGTGTGTGCGCCTGCAGTCAGCTCACAGTGCAGGCGTCTGCTACAGCACACAGCCCTGCGTCAGGTGGGGAGGGGTGGCTTCTGGACACACCAGCCCTGAGCCTGATACCTGGCTCTTTGGGGGTGAACAGGGGAGCCTGGTGACCACACTGCGGGAGGTGGAGCCCACATCACACATGGGGGTGCCCCGCGTGTGGGAGAAGATCATGGAGCGCATCCAGGAAGTGGCAGCCCAGTCCGGCTTCATCCGGCGCAAGATGCTTCTGTGGGCCATGTCGGTGGCCCTGGAACAGAACCTCGCCTGCCCCCATAGGTACCAAGGCCGGGGCTGGGCATGGGTAGGGGGGTCATGGGGGGGGGGCGGGTTGCTGCTTGCAGCCTGGTCCACACAGAGGGATCTTCCCTGGTCCCAGCTCTACCCATGGCCTCGGGCACCAGTAACTCACACCTGTAATCCCAGCTACTCAGGAGGCTGAGATCTGAGAATCATGGATCAAAGTCAGTTCCAGACAAAAAGGCCATGCGCCTCTCATCTCCAATGAACCAGCAAAAAACCGCAAGTGGAGATTTGTCTCAAGTGGTAGAACACCAGCCTGGAGCAAAAAATCTAAGGGACGGTGCCTAGGCTCTGAGTTCAAGTGCCAGTGTTGGCACAAGAAAAGATGTGTTCTAGTGAATTTTGGAGTGTGTGTGTGTGTACGTGTGTGTGTACATGTGTACTTGAACTCAGGGCCTCATTTGTTTGTTTACTCTTTTGGCTTTTGCTCAAAGTTGGCATCCCTTCACTTGAGCCACATTACCACTTTTGGCTTTTTGCTGGTCTCCAAGGTTAATCTGCCCTGGCTGGCCTCAAATGGTGATCCTCAGGTCTCAGCCTCCCGAGTAGCTAGGATGACAGGTGTGAGCCACGAATATGTTTTTGTTTTTGTTTTGTTCTTCTGTGGACCCTCTGCCTTCTTCCACCAGTGACCTGAAACCCTTCACAACCAGACTGGCAGATTATCTGGTATTAGCCAAGGTCCGCCAGGCCCTGGGCTTTGCCAAATGTCAGAAGAACTTCTACGGGGCAGCCCCCATGACCACAGAGACCCTGCACTTCTTCCTGGGCCTCAACATCCCCTTATACGCCGGCTATGGCCTCACCGAGTCTGCCGGCCCCCACTTCATGTCCAGTCCCTACAACTACCGCCTGTACAGGTAAGATCGCGAGAGCTGGCGGCCAGTGGGCGGGGTCAGGGGCAGGGCAGCCTTCTAGTGGGCCAGCAGTGATGTGAAAGGGTCTCCTCCTCTTGTGTTCGATGACCGACTCCCTGCGGGCCAAGTTCACACATCAGCATTCTGGACATTCATTCCACTTACTCATCCCATTCATCCCTTCATTCGTTTCACTCACTGTTCATTCATCCATTCGCCAATAAAAACCCTTTCCCTAGTCCTACCTTTCAACACTATCCCCATTAGAATACAAAACCCTAGGTCTGGCAACAGTGGCTCATGCCTGTAATCCCACCTACTCAGGAGGTTGAGAATTGAGGATCCTTGTTCAAAGCCAGCCTGGACTGAAAAGTCAATGAGACTCAGGTTTCCAATGAAACAGCAAAAAAACAGAAACAGAGGTATGGCTTAAATGATAGAGCACCAGGCTTGAGGGAAAAAAATCAGTCAAGAGTATGGGGCCCAGGGGCTGGGAAGGTGGCTCAGTGGTAGAGCGCATGCCTTGCATGCCTGAGGCCCTGGGTTCGATTCCTCAGCACCACATAAGCAAAAAGAAAAAAAGCCAGAAGTGGTGCTGTGGCTCAAGTGGTAGAGCGCTAGCCTGGAGCTGAAGAGCTGAGGGACAGCGCCCAGGCCCAGAGTTCAGGACCCATGACCGGACCCCCCCCCCCCCAAAAAAAAAAAAAGTTTGGGACCCAGAGTTCAAGTCCCAGTACAGGCACAAAAAGAAAGAAAATCTTGGGAGGAAGGGCTCAACCAGCCATCAGTGAAGACGGACGAATTGCCAAGCGCCAGTAGCTCACGCCTGCCATCCCAGCTACTCAGGAGGTTGAGATCTGAGGATCACAGTTCAAAGCCCGCCAGAACAAGAAAGTCCCTGAGACTCTTATCTCCAGTTAATCCAGTGGTAGAGAGCCAGCCTTGAGTGAAAAAACTAAGCCAAGAACAAGAGAACCCAAGTTCAAGTGCCAGTACCAGCACCTCCCAAAAAGCAGCATGAGGCTGGGCACTGACGACTCAAGGCCTGTCATCCTAGCTACTCAGAGGCTGAGACCCGAGAGTCATGGTTCAAAGCCAGCCCAGGCAGGAAAGTCTGTGAGACTCTTATTATGTCCAATTAACTACCAGAGAACCGGACATGGTGCTGTGGCTCAGATGGTAGAGCGCTCGCCTTGAGCTGAAGAGCTGAGGGACAGTGTCCAGGCCCTGAGTTCAAGTCCCATGACCAACCAAAGTTAAAAAAAAAGACTTAAGAGATCGTGGAACCCCTGGGGCTCCCTCCCCAGGCCTGATCTTGGCTCTCTTCCACCCCTCCATCACCGCCAGCTCTGGCAAGCTGGTGCCGGGCTGCCGGGTGAAGCTGGTGAATCAGGATGCAGAGGGCGTGGGTGAGATCTGCCTGTGGGGCCGCACCATCTTTATGGGGTACCTGAACATGGAGGACAAGACGCGGGAGGCCATCGATGCCGAGGGCTGGCTGCACACCGGCGATGCCGGCCGCTTGGATGATGATGGCTTCCTCTACATCACCGGGCGCCTCAAAGGTGAAGCCCCCCCCCCGCAGGGACTGGGAGGGGGATCACTGGTCTGCACAGGTCATGCAGGATGCAGGGACTCCCCCCCCCCCCCATACTCATTCATGCTGCCAGCTCTGTGAACTAGAAGTCTAGCTCAAGTGGCAGGTGGCTGCTGGGCGTGCCACCAGCGCCCCCTCATGGCCAACCTTATAATAGCAAGATAGGGGACCTGAACTCCTTGGGGCAAACATAATTCCACAGTGATGGTTGGCTTTGCCTTTCGAAATATAATCAGAATGTATGTATATGTATATATGTGTATATGTATGTATGTGTGTATATATGTATATATACATATACACACACACATATACACATATATATAGGCTTGAACTCTGGGCTTGGGCGCTGACCCTGTACTCTTCAGTTCAAGGAGAGCGCTCTAGCCCTTGAGCCACAACACCACTTTCTAGTGGTTTATTGGAGATAAGAGTCTCGTGGACTTTCCTGCTCTGGCTGGCTTTGAACCTCGATCCTCAGATCTCAGCCTCCTGAGTAGCTAGGTTGACAGGCGTGAGCCACTGGTGCCTGGCTTCATAGGAATATTTAAGCAAGAAATATGATTAAAAATATGATGGTGATAGGTAAGGGTCCAGGTAGCTTTTCTCCTAATGTAGATAAATAGATGAGTTCAGCATCACTTCTACGAAAGACCATCTTTGTCATTTACCACTGAGGTCTTTTTTTAAAAAATTCTTTTTAAAATTTTTATTTATTTATTCATTATATGGCCAGATGCAGGGGGCTTGAACTCAGGGCCTGGTGATGTCCCTGAGCCTCTCTTTGCTCAAGGCTAGCACTCTATCACGTGAGCCACAGCACCACTTCTGGCTTTTTCTGTGTTTGTGGTACTGAGGAATCGAACCCAGGGCTTCATGCATGCTAGGCAAGCACTCTACCACTGAGCCACCTTCCCAGCCCCCTTTTATTAAATTCCTGTCCTTACAGATACCCCAGTTTCTTACTGTCAGTGCTTTGATAACAAAGGCTGCCTATAATTTTTTTTTTTTGGCCAGTCCTTGGGCTTGAACTCAGGGCCTGAGCACTGTCCCTGATCTTCTTTTGCTCAAAGCTAGGGCTCTACCACTTGAGCCACACCGCCACTTCTGGCTTTTTTTCTGTGTATGTGGTACTGAGGAATCGAACCCAGGGCTTCATGCATGCTAGGCAAGCATTCTACCACTAAGCCACCTTCCTAGCCCCGGCTGTGATTTTGACTTGAATGAATCCATTGATTGGCATACTTCTCTGAGCTTGCCAATCCATGAACATGGCCTACCTGTGGTGTCTCTGTTTAGGTTCGTGTGTGTGTGTGTGTGTGTGTGTGTGTGTGTGTGTGTGTGTGTGTGTGTGTGTGTGTGTGTGTGTGTGTGTGTGTGCGCGCGCGCGCACGCATGCGCGTGTCAGTCCTGGGGCTTGAACTCAAGACCCAGGCTGTCTCTCTGAGCTGCTGTTCTCAAGGCCAGTGCTTTACCAGTTTGAGCCACAGTTCCACACCCTCACCTCTAATGAACCAACTAAAAAAGCCAGAAGTGGAGCTGGGGCTCAAGTGGTAGAGCGCCAGGCCTGAGCGGGAGAGCTGAGCATGGTGAGGGCCCTGTGAGGAGGGGGTGGGGGGAGTTTGTGGAGCCCTGGGGAGCAGCTGGCTTCCAGTGGGAGGGTGGGGGGGGCGGGGAGGCAGCCCCAGTCCAGGTTGCGTGTAAGCCAGGTAGGAGCCCTGGTGGGGCTGCAGTCCACCCAGGCTTCAACCCTATGCTGGGGTGGGGGGCTGGTATTTGCCCCCCTAGAGTTAATCATAACTGCGGGCGGGGAGAATGTGGCCCCGGTGCCCATCGAGGAGGCGGTGAAGACTGAGCTGCCCATCATCAGCAACGCCATGCTCATAGGGGACCAGAGGAAGTTCCTGTCCATGCTGCTGACCTTGAAGGTAGGTGTGGGCGGGGCGCTGGCTCAAGAGGTGCTGCCAGTCTGTTTTGGGGTACACGGTAGAAGTCACAGGCAGCCCGGGGGTACCTATGGGTTTTGGCTTTTCTATGAGCATGTGAGCAACATTTTTTTTTTTTTTTTTTGTCGGTCGTGGGGCCTGAACTCTGGGCCTGGGCGCTGTCCCTCAGCTCTTCAGCTCAAGGCGAGCGCTCTACCACTTGAGCTACAGCGCCACTTCCGGTTTTCTGGTGGCTTATTGGAGATAGGAGTCTCACAGTCTCTCCTGCCCAGGCTGGCTTTGAACCACGATCCTCAGATCTCAGCCTCCTGAGTAGCTAGGATTACAGGCGTGAGCCACCAGCGCCCGGCTAGCAACATTTTTTTTAAGTTCTGGAAAGTTCTAGAACTTTCCAGATTGCACATTATGCCTTCCGGCTGTGGCAGATACTGAGCCCCCTCCCCCAGGGCAAGGGGGGGGGTGCCCAGGCAGGAGTGTGGCCTCCCTCCCTCCCTCCCTTCTTCCTTTCTTTCTTTCTTTTGCCAGTCCTGGGGCTTGAACTCAGGGCCTGGGCACTGTATCTAAGCTTCTTTTTTGCTCAAGGCTAGCACTCTACCTCTTAAGCCACAGTACCACTTCTAGCTTTTTTTTCTTTACATGGTATTGAGGAATCAAACATAGGGCTTCATGCATGCTAGGTAAACACTCTACCACTAAAACACATTCCAAGCCTTATGGCTTGTTTGACAGGTGACAGTGTCACTGATGACAATCTTCTAATTCTCAGTGCCCCTCACACCCCTGGGAGCTATTCTGCTTCTTGTGTGTGTGTGTGTGTGTGTGTGTGTGTGTGCTGGAACTGGGGCTTGAACTCAGGACCTGGGTGCTGTCTTTGAGCTCTTTTGCTCCAGGCTGGTGTTCTACTACTAGAGCCACAGTTCTACTTTTAGGTTTTGGTAGTTCATTGGAGATAAAGAGTATCATGGACTGTGCTGGGAAGGTGGCTCAGTGGTAGAGTGCTTGCCTGGCATGCATGAAACCCTGGGTTTGATTCCTCAGTACCACATACACAGAAAAAGCTGGAATTGGCACTGTGGCTCAAGTAGTAGAGCGCTAGCCTTGAGCAGAGAGAGGCTCAGGGACAGTGCTCAGGCCCCGAGTTCAAGCCCCAGGACTGGCAAAAAAAAAAGGTATCATGGACTTGTCTGCCTGGGCCAGCTTTGAACTGCAATCCTCATATCTCAGCCTCCTGAGTAGCTGGGATGACTGGTGTGAGCTATAATCTCTGCCGTGGTGATTGTCACTGCTCAGTTCAGTGTTCCCAGGCCAGGGCTCTCGTCCTGCAGAGTAGGGCTTGGGTCTCAGGTGTTTTCTGGCCTATTAGTGCACAATGGACCCAGACACCCTGGAGCCCACGGACCACCTGACAGAGAAAGCTGTGGAATTCTGCCAGCGTGTGGGTAGCAAAGCCAGCACGGTGTCGGAGATCGTGGGGCAGCGGGACGCAGCTGTGTACCAGGCCATCGAAGAGGGGATCCGGAGGGTGAATGCCAACGCGGCCGCCCGGCCCTACCATGTGCAGAAGTGGGCCATTCTCGAGCGGGACTTCTCCATTTCCGGTGGAGAGTTAGGTATGTTTTTTGGTTTTTTTTTTTGGTCAGTTGTGGGGCTTGAACTCAGGACCTGAGCATTGTCCCTGAGCTTTTTCACTCAAGGCTAGTGCTCTACCACTTGAGCCACAGCTTCACTTCTGACTTTTTGTATGGTTCATTGAAGAGTCTCACAGAGAGACTTTTCTGCCTGGGCTGGCTTGGAACCACGATCTTCAGATGTCAGCCTCCTGAGTAGCTAGGATGACAGGCGTGAGCCACTGCGTCCAGCCTTTTTTTGTCGGTCGTGGGGCCTGAACTCTGGGCCTGGGCGCTGTCCCTCAGCTCTTCAGCTCAAGGCTAGCGCTCTACCACTTGAGCCACAGCACCACTTCCAGCTTTTTCTGCTTATGTGGTGCCGAGGAATCGAACCCAGGGCCTCATGCATGCAAGGCAAGCACTCTACCACTGAACTACCTTCCCAGCCCTGTCCAGCCTTTTTTTTTTTTTTTGTCGGTCGTGGGGCTTGAACTCTGGGCCTGGGCGCTGTCCCTCAGCTCTTCAGCTCAAGGTGAGCGCTCTACCACTTGAGCTACAGCGCCACTTCCGGTTTTCTGGTGGTTTATTGGAGATAGGAGTCTCACGGTCTCTCCTGCCCGGGCTGGCTTTGAACCGCGATCCTCAGATCTCAGCCTCCTGAGTAGCTAGGATTACAGGCATGAGCCACCAGCGCCCGGCTTTCTGTCCAGCCTTTTTAAAAAAAGTTTTTCTTGGGCTGGGAAGGTGGCTCAGTGGTAGAGCGCTTGCCATGCATGCTCAAGGCCCTGGGTTTGATTCCTCAGCACCACATAAGCAAAAAGAAAAAAGCCGGAAGTGGCGCTGTGGCTCAAGTGGTAGAGCGCTAGCCTTGAGCTGAAGAGCTGAGGGACAACATCTAGGCCCAGACTTCAAGCTCCACAACCAAAAGAAAGATCATTTGTATAGTTAACAATGGCTGGATCTTAAGGGACAGGAATGTGTGTGTTCAAGGGCAGAATGAATCACATTTGAATTGGGGGTCAAGAATATGGGTAGAACTTGGCACTGGTGGCTCATGCCTGGGATCCTAGCTACTCGGGAGGGTGAGATCTGAGGATCATGGTTTGAGGCCAGCCTGGGTAGAAAAGTCTGAGAGACTCTTATCTTCCATTAACCACCTGAAAACTGGAAGTGGTGCTGTGGCTCAAAGTGGTAGAGCACTAGCCTTGAATGAAAAAGCTCTGGGACAGTGCCCAGGCCAAGTTCAAGTGTCAGGATGGAATGGTGGTGGGTGGGAGGGGAAGGCTACACTTCATATTTGAGAGCTTGTTTGGAGCAGCTACTCATATACCCGTGACAAAAGACTGGTCCTCCTCTATCAGGATGGTCATCCTCTTCGATCACACATGCAGCTTCAGGAGGGACACACATGGAGTGGTTGGAAGGATGGGGACACCCACCTAGCCAGCCAGATCAGCCAAATCAACCCTGGCGGTCAAGGGGTGACAGTGTCACAGCCCATTATGTATTTGAAAGAAGTGGTCATCATTTCTAGTCTCAAAAGTGACACAGGTCAGGCACTGATGTCTCATGTCTGTAATCCCAGATACATGGGAAGGTGAGATCTGAGGACCAAGTTTGAAGCCAGCCTGGGCAGACACATTTGAGACTCTTATTTTCAATTAATCAGCAAAAAGCCAGAAGCAGAGGTGTGGCTCAGGAGGCAGAGCACCAGCCTTGAACCAAGGCTGGGCTGGAGGAGGGGAAGCCAGGCAAGCCCATCATCCTAGCTACTCAGAAGGCTGAGATCTGAGGATCGTGGTTCAAAGCCAGCCTGGGCAGGAAAGTCTGTGAGACTCTTATCTCTAATGAACCTGGAAAGTGGAGCTGTGGCTCAAAGTGGTAGAGCTCCAGCGTTGAGTGAAAAAGCTGAAGAATAGCACCCAGGCCTTGAGTTCAAGCCCAAGACTGACAAAAGTACAAAAAAACCACAAGCCCCCAAGTTCCAGCCCAGTACCAACACACACACACACACACACACACACACACACACACACACACACACACACACACACACACAAAGGACCTAATACCCTATCACTTCCTCTGTTCAGCTGACCATAGTCCAATCCTGGCACATAGTAGAAGGCTCCCAGACTCCCAGTTTCCAAGGCTGGCCACTGAGCCTGTTTGGTATACTTTTTTTTTCTTTTTTTTTTTTTTGGTCAGTTGTGGGGCCTGAACTCTGGGCCTGGGCGCTGTCCCTCCGCTCTTCAGCTCAAGGCTAGTGCTCTACCACTTGAGCCATAGCACCATTTCTGGCTTTTTCTGCTTATGTGGTGCTGAGGAATAGAACCCAGGGCCTCATGCATGCACAGCAAGCACTCTACCACTGAGCCACCTTCCCAGCCCGTTTAGTATACTTTTTTTGTGTTGCCAGTCCTGGGGCTTATCCTGAGCTTTTGTGCTCAAGACAGCACGCTCTACCACTTCAGCCACAGCTGCACTTCTGGCTCTTTGGTGGTTCATTGGAGTTAAGAAGTTCAGACTTTCCTGCCTAGGTTGGCTTCAAACCAGACTCCTCAGATCTCAGCCTCCTGAGTAGCTGGGATTACAGGTGTGGGCCACAAGGGCACGTCTTTGCTTACTTCTTCCGTCGAGTTCTCTAGGCTTGGACCTCACTTATTTCTTCCAATGTTTCTTTCAGGTCCCACCATGAAACTGAAACGGCTCATAGTTCTGGAGAAATACAAAGATATCATTGATTCCTTTTACCAAGAGCAGAAAAAGTAGAGAGGAAGGGCCACCCTATGGTTGCTGCTAAATAGGTAGTTGGCAGACTTTCAAGCGTTTTCCAGCCTGAGCATGGAAACCTCTGACAAATCTGACCTTCCCCTCCGCCCTCCACTCCCCCCCCCCCTGCCCTGCCCTGCCCTGCCCTGCCCTGCCCCGAGTCAGGATGTCCCAGGGTCCCCAGTGCTGAGAAGCTTCCTCTCTGGGCAGTTTGGATTCTGTGGAAGTATGGCTTCACGGTCAGATGACACAGAATGAATGGAAAGGCCAGTCAGTATTGGCCCTTGATCCAGGCAAATGGATTCATTTGCTAGCACCCAGAACAGGTGACCAAATGTAGGCTTTGGGGGAGAAGAAAGGGAATGATGGCTCCCACCTGAGTGTCCCGGCTCACCTGACAGCCTGACCCATTCTGGAATCTTCTTGGACACTGCAGATCGATCAATACTCACTACCTACCCTCCTTCATTTTGCACAAGCCACTGACTCACTCTTTTAACCAAACTGCTGCTGCCTATACGATTCTATTTAATGTGATCTGCATAGTAAACCTTTTAACAAAACTGCCGAGTACTTCATTCATTCAGCAAGCCGAGGGGAGGCAAGAGTGGCAGGCAATACACACGAGCCACCATCAGGGTGCAGTAAATGCCCTTAGAATAAAAGCTGGGCACCAGCAGTGCACGCCTGTAATCCTAGCTACTCAGGAGGCTGAGATTTTAGGATTGCGGTTCAGTCAGCCTAGATAGTAAAGTCCATGAGACTCTTCATTTTATTTTAGTTATCTTTGTCGGTCATGCATCTTGGAACTCAGGGCCTGGGTGCTGTCCCTGAGCATTTCAGCTCAAGGTGAGCACTCTACCACTTGAACCATAACGCCTCTTCTGGTAGCTAATTGGAGATGAGTCCCAGGGATGTTCAGCCCAGGCTGGCTTTGAACTGGGATCTCAGATCTCAGCTTCATGAGTAGCTAGGATGACAGGCATGAGCCACCGATGCCTGGTTCTTCATTTTAACTAGCAAAAAGGCTGAAGTTGTGGCTCAAGTGGTAGAGTTCTAGCCTTGAGGGATTAATTCAGGGACAGTGCCCAGGCTCTGAGTTCAAGCCCACAGGGGCTGGAATGTGCACACATACACGTGCGCACGCACATATGCACTGGAATAAACAAAGGTGCAGAACAGTAGAGCTATCTAGTAAAAGCGGCCACCCTTCCACTCTGAATACCAGCAGCAGCCATTCTGGACAATGCACGTGAACCACAATGTCCCTAAAACATTGGCCAGAAAGCAGGCAGGCAGAGAGAGAAAGAGAAGGCAGCCGTAGTCTATTTGGAAATTCTTTATTTATTAATTTCCATGAGCCTGAGAACCACTGACGATGAGCACAATCCAGAGAGGCAAAGCAGCGGCATAAACAAAGTAGGATACACATGAGATTGTAAGCCTGGTTATAAGCTTAAAAAAAAAAAAATTAGCCGGGAAATGTCCCAGTGACCTGGGCACACAGGCAGAACGAGAGGTGTACAGACCCACACAAGGCTCAAGGGAGAACCCACATGGCCTCTGGCTTGGGGACAAAGGTCATAGAAAAGGGTCACCACTGATGACCTCAGGCCCCACGTGGATTGACTGTGAGAATCAGCTCAAGCCACGCATGTTCGGCCTCTGCCGTGGCGTCTTTTACTGGTATTGCTAAAGCAGTAGTGGGGAGAAAAGCGGGGGAGGAGGAGGCAGTCATGGAAATTAAAAATCCACAGCCAGCAGCCCTGTGTACCTTAACCACAACCAAAACACTGGTGATTGGGCTAAGCAGGCCGCAGGTGGCAGGAGAGCTGGCTTGCCCATCTCCACGGTGGAGAGGGGGAATGGATACAGCACAGGAACTCAGAAGCTGTGACAATTTGTGTCCAGTCAGAGGACATGACCCCTCTTTACTTCATCAAGAGTTCTTGCCAAGAATATTTCATCTCCAGGGAACAAAATAATTGAATACAAAATACATCTGGCGCCTTGTACGCAATATATTACCTATATCTCATTAACAAAAGTTATAGCGCTCCTTTCTATAGTTCTTAGATCTGAAGTTTTTATTCATAGTAATTCATGTAAAGGACAAATCTTTCTTCACTGACCGCATTACTAAGAAAAAGGTTCAGGTTTGCGGTTTCCCTAGGAATTTTTCTGGTGCCCCTTTGAGTTTTCTAAGAATGTTATTTTGTGCTATGACTTTATTTCCATTATGATTTTTGTCAGCCAAGGAAAACAGGGCAACTTTTTGTTGTTGTTGTTTCTTAAAAAGATAGATGTTTTTTAAGGAATTTATATCATATTTACAGCTGAGGAAAATTGATTTGAACTGAAGTGTAAAATGGTTAACAACCGCAAATGACACAGTCCACTTCCGGTTTACTAAAAAAATGTTTCCCAAATAGACGTAATAAATAGAACAAGCATTTGGAAAAGTCCTTTGAAAGCAGGCCTATACACATCGCCTGCAGCCTCCAGGTGGATTTTGTTAAGAAAAGGCCAGATCAGAAAATGTACTGTCAAGAAACAAGCAAACCGAATGCAGACAGAATGGCAGGTGATTGAGAGGTTCATGTGTCCATCAGAAGTGACTGCAGCCAAGACCACGTGCAGGGGCTTTAATCCGAATCCTTCACTCGGCGACAGATCTCATCTGTGAACTCTGAGCATTTGGCTTTGCCTCCCAAGTCTTTTGTTAAGGTCTGAGGAAAGGAAAACAATAACAACATGCATCCACATGCTGAATTAAGACCAAGGATCTCAGCTAGGAGCTGGTGGCTCACGCCTGTCATCCTAGCTACTCGGGGCTGCGATCTGAGGATCGCAGTTTGAAGCCGGTCCAGGCAGGAAAGTCTATGAGACTCTTAACTTCACAGAAAAAGCCGTAAGCAGCACTGTGGCTCAAGTGGTAGACGGCTAGCCTTGAGCAAAATGAGGTCAGGGACGACGACGCCCAGTCCCATAATTCAAGTCCCAGGACTGCAAGAAAAAGACCAAGGGTCTTTTTATTTAAAGCCCTCAGATTGCCAGCTTACCCTTACAACTTTTAGCTCCTCAATTCAAACCAAAGACCCTACATGCAAAATCTCCCAGCCCACAAATGCTGGGTGGCCATGGCTTACTCTTGCAATCCTAGCTACTCAGGCTGAGATCTGAGGATCAGGATTTGAAGCCAGCTCTGGCAGCAAAGTCCATGAGACCCTCATCTTCAATTAACCACCAAAAAGCTGGAAATGGAGCTGTGGCTCAAGTGCCAGAGGGCCAACCTTGAGCAAAAAAGCTAAGGGACAGCACCTAGGCCCTGAGTTCATGGGATCACAGGAACGGTACCTTTCCATCTTTAATTGTAGCAAAACACGCAGCCTCGATTCTCTCAGCCTGGTCGAAAAGCCTCATATGGCGCAGCATCATCACAGCACTGAGCAGGAGGGCAGTGGGGTTGGCCATGTCCTTGCCCGCTATGTCCGGGGCTGTCCCGTGCACCTGTGTACCAGGGAAAGCAGCGTGAGCAGAAGCACGCATGCGCTGCGGCTCAGTGGTAGAAGGTGGGCTGAGGTGGGAAGTCCAGGGTTTGATTTCAGAACCACAAAAAAAATAGAGACAGACAGACAGAGAAAGAGGGAGGGAGGGACGCAGGAGTGGGATTCATCTGACATAGATTTGAGGAGTAAAAAAATAAAGCTTTAGAGAAAGCACTAGATTTTTTTTTGGGGGGGGGGGGGAAGGGGTTGTTTTTGTTGCCAATTCTGGGACTTGAACTCAAAGCTAGTGCATTTCCTTGAGCTACGTTCAAGACTAGTGCTCTACCACTTGAACCACAGCTCCACTTCCAGCTTTTTTTGGTGTAGTTTATTAGAGAGTCAGGTCCCTGCCTGAGCTGACTTTGAACCACAATCCTCAGATCTCAGCCTCCTGAGCAGCTAGGATGACTGGTCTAAGCCACTGGTACCTAGCTAAGCACTAGTTTGCTAAAAGCCCAAGTACTGGCACAAAGATACTCTGTTTGTGTTTGTGTGTGTGTGTGAGTTTTTGGTAAACTATTTCAGGGGAAGAAAGCTACACAATGAAGAAGTATCTAACCAGGTGTGGTAGCACACATCTATAATCTTAGCACCCAAGAGTCTGAGGAAAAAGTGTCCTGAGTGCATGGCCAGCCTGGGCTATGGAGCGAAGTCCTGACTCAAAATAGAAATAAAATCCTAGGTACTCAGAAAGCGGAGATCTGAGGATCACAGTTTGAAGCCAGCCCAGGCAGGAAAGTCCATGAGACTCTTATCTCCAGAAAATGGGAAGTGGCGCTGTGGCTCAAAGTGGTAAAGCAAAAGACTCAGGGACAGCAGTGCCCAGACCAAGTTCAAGCCCCACAACCACCACCAACAACAAAAATATATACATATATATATATATATATATATATATATATATATGCTATATAACCACACATATATGTGTATATAAATATCTAGAAAGAAAAGTAAGGCTATATAAATATACGATATTGTTGGGTGCAAATAGATCAGGCTTGTCATCCTAGCTACTCAGGAGGCTAAGATCTAAGGATCGTGGTTCAAAGTCAACCTGGGCAGGGAAGTCCATGAAACTCTTATCTCCAATAAACCAGCAAAAAAGCCAGAAGTGGAGCTGTGCCAAGTGGGAGAGCATTAGCTTTGAGCAAAAAGTCTAAGTGAAAGAGCCTATGCCCTGAATTCAAGCCCCAGAAGTAGCATCAGATAGACAGATAGACAAAACAGAAAGTCATTTTCTTTTTTTGGTCAGTCCTGGGGTTTGAAACTCAGAGCCTGAGCACTGTCCCTGAGATACTTCTTTCGCTCAAGGCTAGCTCTTTACCACTTGAGCCATAGTGCCGCTTCTGGCCTTTTCTGTTTTATGTGGTACTGAGGAATCGAACCCAGGGCTTCATGCCTGCTAGACAAGCATTCTACCATTAAGCCACATTTCCAGCCAAGTCATTCTCTTTGACAATTCGCAAACGTACAGAGTTAAAGCCCCATGTAACAGACAGCTCTCTTGAGCTGTCCTGAGCTGTCCCACATGAACTCGTATGGGAGCAGAACCCTTACCGACTCGAAGATGGCCACTCCATTGGCCCCAATGTTGCCGCTTGGGGTGACACCCAGACCTCCAATCAGCCCCGCACACAGGTCACTGCAAGGCAGAGAAGCATTGTACAGGATACAGCGAGAGGAACGCATCTCATCTTGTACTCAGATCTCAGCTGTTAAATTCCATTTTCCACTCCGAGGAAGCAGAGCTCTTGCAGACAGAGCTGTGCCCAGAAGCAAGGTGAGGAACGAGGGGCTGAGCCCAAAAGACACTTTGAAGGCACTGGGAAAGGAGCCACCCTGGCTCTGCCCAGACACCCCAGCCTTCAGGTTAAGGGATGCCAGTTATAGACACAGCACCAAATCACCAGCAAACCAGTCAGTAAGCAAACAAACAAGAGCTGAGAGGGGACGCTCCTCATTATGGTTAGAATGCTAATAGACAGAATGATGGGCTTCGAACATCAGCCTATAACCCAGCTACTCAGGAGGCTGAGATCTGAGGATCATAGTTCAAAGCCAGCCTGGGCAGGGAAGTCCATGAGCCTCTTACTTCCAATGAAACAGCAAAAAACTGGGAATGGAGGTGTGGCTCAAGTGGCAGAGCCCTAGCCCTGGCACAAAAAGAAAAAATCGCCCTTTGGCCAACAACTTGTTAGGGTGGGAAGAAAAAGGAGGGAAAGAGCAAAAGAGGGAAAGAATGATAAAGTATGATCAAATGAAAGAGGTGGTCAGCAAAAAAAAAAAAAAAAAAAAAAAAAAAAGAGCCAGGTGCCGGGGCTCACGCCTGTAATCCTAGCTACTCAGGAGGCTGAGATCTGAGAATTGCAGTTCAAAGCCAGCCCGGGCAGGGGAGACTGTGAGACTCTTATCGCCAATTAACCACCAAAAAGCTGGAAGGAGAGCTGTGGTTCAAGTGGTAGAGTGCTAGCCTTGAGTGAAAAAGATAAGGGACAGTATCTAATCACTGAGTTCAAGCCCCAGGACTGGCACAAAATATAAATTGGAAAATGATTACCGTCTTACTTAGATAGGAACAAAATTGAGCAAAATCAACCAATCAATAAAACGTGGAAAATGGGAACAATGAAATCAGGGCGCAATAGTCACCCAGAGCTGATTGGCAGATAGACAAATGGTCCAGTCTGTTCAACATACAGTCTCTGCCAGGTGCTGTGGCTTACACCTGTAATCCTAGCTACGCAGGAGGCTGAAATCTGAGGATCATGGCTCAAAGCCAGTCTGGGCAGAAAAGTCCGTGACACTCTTATCTCTAATAAACTACTCAGAAAAAGCCAGAAGTGGCACCGTGTGGCTCAACTGGTAAGAGTGCCAGTCTTGAGCCAAAGAAACTCAGAGACAAGAGCTTAGGTCTTGAGTTCAAGTCTCAAGACAGGCAAAACAAAACAAAACAACAATAAGAACAACTACAAGAAAACATGAAGTCTCTGACATCAGGTCTGAGGTTTTGGAATTCAGCGCCTAATCTGAGAATTTTAAGCTGTGGTTGACTTTAGGACATTTACATGGCAATACTAGACAGCCAGACTTACCTAAGGATGTCTCCGTACAGATTTGGCATAACAAGAACATCAAATTGGGATGGATCCTGTACCATCTGCAAGGAATATATTTGAGCATCAGCGAATAAATGTGTGACAAACACGTGCACACTCAAAAGGTAACCCTATAAATATGAATGCATACTTACATTCAAACACACTGTATCGAGGTACATCTCATTAAATTTAATATCTTTACAGTTTTCTGCAACTTCCCTGCATTTCTGCAGAAAAAGTCCATCTGACATGCGCCTGGAAAGGAAGTTCAAGAAAAAATTTTTTTTTGTCAGTCATGGGGCTTGAACTCTGGGCCTGGGTGATATCCCTGAGCTCTTCAGCAAAAGGCAAGCGCTCTACCACTTGAGCCACAGTGTCACTTCTGGTTTTCTGGGGGTTCACTGGAGATAAAAGTCTCACGGAAAAAAAAAAAAAAAAAAGTCTCACGGATTTTCCTGCCTGCGTGGCTTTGAACCATGATCCTCAGATCTCAACCTCCTGAGTAGCTAGGATTATAGGCGTGAGCCACTGGCACCCAGCAAGTTCAAAAAATTTTAAGTTCCAGGTATAACAATGATCAATAGGAAATGTACTCATTATCTTAGTTATGTAACTGTAACCTCCCTATACAGTATCTTTACAATAAAATATATTAAAAAAAAAAAAAAAAAACACCAAGAGTCCTGCCAGCTACTATGATCAGAAATGGAAAAGTTGTTTCATTGTGAAGAAGAAATCATACAATAAAGCACTAAGCAAGGCCAGAAAATATGTTGAAAAAAAAAATTTAAGTTCCAGAAAAGCCAAGTTGTCTAATTTCAGTGACAATTAGATGATTCCTTAGGCAGCTGATAAAATGCAAGTTTAAAGTGTTGATCCAAGCTGGGCACCAGTGGCTCACACCTGTCATCCTAGCTACTCAGGAGGCTGAGATCTGAGAATCAGGGTTCAAAGCCAGCCTGGGCAGGAAAGTCTGTGAGACTCATCTCCAATTTAATCATTGAAAAATCCAGAAGTGGTGCTGTGGCTCAAGGGGCAGAGTGCCTGCCTTGAGGAAAAGGAGCTTAGGGACAGTACCCAGGCCCTGGGTTCGAGCCCCAGGACCAGAAAAAAAAAAGTTGTTGATCCCAACAGGAAGACTAGCTATATTATTAAAATCACTTTAGGAGGTTACTTGAAGTGGTAACTTTTCTTAGTGTGTGTGCTGGTCCTGGGGCTTGAACTCAAGGCCTGAATATTGTCCCCCAAGCTTTCTGCTCAAAGCTAGCTCTCTACCACTTGAGCCACAGTGCCATTTCCAGCTTTTTTAGTGGTTCTTTGGAGAAAAGAGTTTTACAGACTTTCCTACACTGGCTGGCTTCAAACTGCAATTCTAAGATCTCAGCCTCCTGAGTCTAGCTGATAACAGGTATGAGCCACTGGCACCCAGCAGCTAGTGACTTTTTTTTTTTTTGGTCGGTTGTGGGGCTTGAACTCTGGGCTTGGGCGCTGTCCCTCAGCTCTTTAGCTCAAAGCAAGTGCTCACCACTTGAGCCACAGCGCCACTTCTGGTTTTCTGAGTAGTTAATTGGAGATAAGAATCTCACAGACTTTCCTGCCCGGGCTGGCTTTGAACGGCGATCCTCAGATCTCAGCCTCCTGAGTAGCTAAGATTACAGGTGTGAGCCACCGTCACCTGGCTGTGACTATTCTTATTAATTACTATCTGGCATGTTTAATACTTGTCTTAGGCAGGAAGAACTGTTTCTTTGACCTTTAACAGAACAGGCAGGAGAGAAGACTGCTGACAAGTCGGCCACCAGAGCCGGCTATTTTAAGCCCCAAGCAGGAGGTGGAGTGAGTGACACTTCCCATCCTCGGTGAAACATTAATGTGTGGCCTTTACAAAGGCCACAGTGTCTGAGGACCTTCCTTTGCTTTCTGTGTGTGTTCAAGTACTAGAACTTGAACTCAGGGCCTTGCATTCTCACTTGGCTCTTTTGCCCAACATTGGTGTTCTACCATTTGAGCTACATTTGCTGGTTAACTGGAGATCAGAGTCTTTTTATTTTTATTTTTTTTGTCAGTCATGGGGCTTGAATTCTGGGCCTGGGCACTGTCCCTCAGCTCTTCAGCTCAAGGCAGGCCCTCTACCACTTGAGCCACAGTGCCACTTCCTGTTTCTGATGGTTAGTTGGAGGTAAGAGTCTCATGGATTTTCCTGCCCAGCAGGCTGGCTTTGAACTGTGATACTCAGATCTCAGCCTCCTCAGTACCTAGGATTACAGCCATGAGCCACTGGCGCCCAGCATGATCAGAGTCTTAACAGACTTTCCTGCCCAGGCTGGCTTCGAACCTTGATCCACAGATCTCAGCTCCTGAGTAGCTGGGATTACACGAATGAGTTAAAAGGGGTAGGCCAGCTTATATCCTTAACTCCCCAGCCCGGACTCCACACCCCACTGAGGCACAGTTCAGGATGGCAGTGGGTTCCTGCAGAGCTCTGTTTGAGACGGATGAGCAAGCTGGAGAGACGGGAAGGCCAGCATGGCCCCTGCCACCCGCCAGCCCATGGGACTCACATGATGTTGGCCTTGTGCACAGCCGTGACGTTGCTGCGGCGGTTGTTGCGAGCATACTCAAAGGCGAACTCAGCGATGCGCTTGCTTGCGCCCTCGGTGATGAGCTTGATGCTCTGCACAACTCCATCCACGATCTGAAAGGGGAGAAGCTCTGCTCATTGGAGGAGGTGTGGCTAGCTCAGCCCACACAATGTGAACGGACAAAGCCTCAACTCCTCACTTGTCTTGGGGAAACTGTTCCACCGAGAAGCTGAAGAACAATCCCAAGTGCGAAGACAGTAAACCCAACCCAAACAGGAATAAAAATGTATCTGAAGCCAGGCACTGGTGGCTCACGCCTGTCATCCTAGGTCCTCAGGAGGCTGAGATCTGAGGATCACAGTTCAAAGCCAACCTAAGGCAGAAAGTCTGTGAGACTTATCGCCAATGAACCACCAAAAAGCTGGAAGTAGAGCTGTGGCTCAAGTGGTAGAGCACCAGCCTTGAGTGAAAAAGCTACAAAACAGTGCCCAAGCCCTGTGATCAAGCCCCCCACCCCCACAACGCCTCCCTCTGAAAGAAGAAAGTGAGCGTACCACATGCTCAATGCCACTGTACTCTCCTTCCGTGTTCTCTCGAATGGTGACGATGTTCACATCCGTGTAGGGCGTTCTATAGCCTTCAATGGACACGCACGGCCTGACATTGGCATAAAGATCAAATGTCTTCCGCAGCAGTAAATTCATAGATGGGTGACCTGCTGCTATTGGAGTCTTCAGAGGGCCTGGGAAAGACAAGACCCAGGAGACATCTGGCCTCATGCCCCCAAGCTCCCCTGACAACCACGGTGTGCTGGACCTCACCCTCCCCCCACCTCAACAGGAGAAGGAAGCTTTCCAGAACGCTAACCGCATTTCTCTTCTTGACAATGACCAAGTATTATAGCAGAGCCCTGGCGTTGGCTCACCCTTATTACCGCCCGAGCGGGGTCAGTTGAGAAAGGAATTAATTTACAGGCTCATGCCTATAATCCCAACTCCTGAGGAGGCAGAGATCTGAGGACTGCAGTCCAAATGAATAGGAAAGTCCGAGAGACTCTTAGCTCCAATGAACCACCAAAGAGCCGCAAGTGGAGCTGTGGCTCAAGTGGTAGAGAGTCAGCTTTGAATGGAAAGCTTAAGGGACAGTGACTAGGCTCTGAGTTCATGCCCAGTACTGGGGGGCAGGGGGGAGTGAAGAAGCTAGGCACCCATGGCCCACACCTACAAATCCTAACTACTCAGGAGGCTGAGACCTATAGGATTGCCACTTAAAGCCAGTGGTTCAAAGCCACCCAGGCAGAAAAGAGATGCCATCTCCAATTAACCAGTAAAACACCAGACTGGAGGTATGGCTCAAATGGTAGGGCATCAGCCATGACAAAGAAAGTTGAAGAAGAGTCTAAGGCTCTGGATTCAAGCCCTGGTACTGGCAGCCCCACACCCCCAAAATAGGAAGATAAAGTAAAACATAAATCTAATGGAATATAAAGAGATATTGCCCGTTTGTATTGGCCAGTAACCCGTTAATGTTTTACTAAAGCTTGAAAAAGAACATTCTAAAGAAAATATAAAGCATGGGCTGGGAAGGTGGCTCAGTGGTAGAGCGTTTGCCTTGCATGTCTGAGGCCCTGGGTTCGATTTCTCAGCACCACATAAGCAAAAAGAAAAAAGCTGGAAGTGGTGCTGTGGCTCAAGTGGCAGAGCGCTAGCCTTGAGCTGAAGAGCTAAGGGACAGTGTCCAGGCCCAGAGTTCAGGCCCCATGACCGGACCCCCCCCCCCAAAAAAAAAAAAAAAAAACAGAAAATATAAAGCATGCTGAGCTGTGTTTGGTGGTGCAGGCCTATAATCCCAGCACTGAAGAGACTCAGGCAGGAGGATTTAGAGTTCAAAGTTAGCCTGAGCTATACCGCAAGAATTCTCAAAAACAACAGACACAGGGGGGTGTCAGTGGTTCAGCCAGTGGTTCACACCTGCCATCCTAGCTACTCTAGAGGCTGAGATCTGAGGATCCAAGTTCAAGGCCAGCTTGGGCAGCAAAGTTCATGAGCCTCATCTCCATCCAAAAGCCAGAAGTAGAGCTGTGGCTCAAATGCTAAAACACTAGGCTTGAGTAAAACAAACTCAGTGCCCAGGCCAGGAGTTCAAGCATGAGGACAGGCAGGCATGCGTGTGCACGCGCACTCACGCACGCACGCATACACACACACAGAGTCAAACACACAGGTAAACAGAGTATGCAGCTATGAGTAGTTACTTCATAAAAAGGATGAAAACTGCCTTGACTTTGATAGACTGCCAAATCTTATTTAGCTTCCACATTTGGACTTTGGAAAATTGAACCTCGGGAGCAGAAGTCAATAAAGCCACGCCCCTGGCAGCACTACCTTTCAGGCCCATCTTGTTCTTGTCCATGGACTCCTTGGCTTCCGGAGGAATCATCCACTTGCCCCCTGGGCCTTGGATGGCGGTGACATTCCGCTCCTCCCACTGGATGGGAGCCTAGAGGACAGAACCCAAGACAACGCTGGCATTGACACACCCATCCTTGAGTTCACGCCTCCATACAACTGGTCAAAACACGCACATGGGGGCCCAGAAAGGCCCTGGTGTGCAAAGAAGAGGGGTCATCCTTGCATGCGACCAGGACAGCTCCCCAGATCACCCTGACCCGCTGTCACTCCAGGCTGTCACCTGTCCCCTGGTTTTCTTCACACAGACTCTTAAGGTGGCTATAATTAGAATATGAACAAGCAGGAAAGAAATAGAGTTCAAGCCGGGCGCTGGTGGCTCACGCCTGTAATCCTAGCTACTCAGGAGGCTGAGATCTGAGGATCGTGGTTCAAAGCCAGCCCGGGCAGGAAAGACCGTGAGACTCCTATCTCCAATAAACCACCAGAAAACCGGAAGTGGCGCTGTAGCTCAAGTGGTAGAGTGCTCGCCTTGAGCTGAAGAGCTGAGGGACAGCGCCCAGGCCCAGAGTTCAAGCCCCACGACCGACAAAAAAAAAAAAAAAAAAAAAGAAATAGAGTTCAAGAAACCATTTCACAGTACTGGTACATACATGAACCTTGAAAACACTAAGCCAGACAGGTGCTGATTGCTCACACCTGGAAATCCTAGCTACTCAAGAGGCTGAGATCTGAGGGTCATGGTTCAAAGCCAGCCTGGGCAGGAAAGTCCATGAGACTTTTTTTTTTTTTTTGTCAGTCATGGGGCTTGAACTCTGGCCCTGGGAGCTGTCCCTGTGCTCTTCAGCTCAAGGTGAGCACTCTACCACTTGAGCCACAGCGCCACTTCCGGTTTTCTAGTGGTTTATTGGAGATAAGAGTCTCACAGAGTTTCCTGCCCTGGTTGGCTTTGAACCATGATCCTCAGATCTCAGCCTCCTGAGTAGCTAGGATTATAGGCGTGAGCCACCGGCACCCAGCAAGAAATACACTCTTTATCTGACTTATATAACTGTAACCACTCTATACATCACCTTTTTTGGGGGGGGGGGGGGGGAGTCCGGTCGTGGGGCCTGAACTCTGGGCCTGGGCACTGTCCCTCAGCTCTTCAGCTCAAGGCTAGCGCTCTACCACTTGAGCCACAGCGTCACTTCCGGCTTTTTGCTTATGTGGTGCTGAGGAATCGAACCCAGGGCCTCTTGCATGCAAGGCAAGTGCTCTATCACTGAGCCACCTTCCCAGCCTATACATCACCTTTACAATAACAACATCAAAATAATTGTTGAGCAATCTGAACAGCCCTTCTTAAAGGACTAGCTACTGAGACTACATATAGGAGGCAAATGCCAAAACAGGAAGCAGAGGTGGCTGCCCGGGGCTGCTCTTGGGGTGGAGAGGTGGGAGGGTCACTGCTCTTGGATATGGGGTATCTTTCTGGTAATACAGATTTTCTGATATTAAGATTACATCAGTGGTTGTATTCTGTGAATATACTAAAAACAAAACCACCAAATTAAACTGTCTTTCTCCTAGTCCTTTCCCACTCAATGGTACCTTTTCCTTCCCCCTTCCTTTCCTTTTTTTCTAGTACTGGGCTTGACCTCAGGGCCTTGTACTCTTTGCTTTTCCTGCTTAAGGCTAGCCCTCTTACCAGTTGAGCCCACACCTCTATTTCTGGCTTTTTGAGGTGGTTCATTGGAGATAAGAGTCTCACAGACTTTCCTGCTCCAGCTGGCTCCGAATGGTGATCTTCAGATCTCAATCTCCTGCCTATCTAGGATTGCATGAGACATGGGTGACTAGCCAATTCTATGTTGCATTTTGGTAGGAAGGGACAATAAGTAGACAGGTGACTTGGCAGGGTTTGAAGACCTTGAACCTGGGCTGGGCTCAAAATCTCATAAATACCACAGTACTACCTTGATGGCAGATAGATTCAATAACTATAGGTAGCTACTGAAGATGCAGTAACAAGTAACATTGTAATATGCACTATTACAGAGAAAATGCCTTGTCAGGAATGGGGTGCAACCTGTCACCCCAGCACTTAGGAGGCTGAGGCAGAAGGATTTCAAGTTCCAGGCTAGCAAAGCAAGACCCTGTTTCTCTCTCTCTCTCTCTTTTATTTTTTAGGGCCAAGACTAGGACTTGAACTTGAGTATTTGATGCTTTCACTCAACGGCTAGTGCTCCACCAACTACGCCATGCCTCAAACCCTGCAAAACCCTATCTCAAGAACAAACCCGTTGGGCTGGGAAGGTGTCTCAGTGGTAGAGCGCTTGCCTTGCATGCATGAGGCCCTGGGTTCGATTCCTCAGTACCACATAAGCAGAAAAAGCTGGAAGTGGTGCTGTGGCTCAAGTGGTAGAGCACTAGCCTTGAGCTGAAGAGCTGAGGGACAGTGCCCAGGCCCAGAGTTCCGGCCTATGACCGACACAAAAAACAAAACAAAACCAAACAAAAACATAAAAATCCAGCAGTTACAGACTTCATAGGACCAGGTGCAATTTATCCTAGAGTATAATCTCTAATGAGTTTTTTTAAAAAACAAAACCAAAAACTTTTGAGTTATTATTGAATGGATGTATTAATGTCACTCACTTTGGCAGCATCAAAGATCTTCATAACTGCAGTGGAAATCTCTGGGCCAATTCCATCTCCTGGAATTAAAGTTACTGTCTGAACCTAAATAGAAGAAATCATTAAAAAAAAAAAATCAGTAAGGTTTGGAAGGTTTAGAAAAAGAACATCACTGACAAGAGAAATCCCCTTTATACAGACATTGGTTCCTTCTTTCCTTCCTTCCTTCCTTCCTTTTTGAGGTCCGAGACTGGGACTTGAACTTGGTACCTGCCATTTTTGCTCCCTGGCTGAGGCTCTACAATGAGCTACATTTCCAACCCTATATAGGTATTCCAAAAACGCCCAAGTACTGTTAGGAAAATAAGTAAACCTTCCCTAGAACCATCAAAGGAGAGACAGAAATTAGCAGACACAAATCTCTACAAGTCTACTCTTTCCCTGAGTTCTGAGGTTACTAAAAAGAACTCAAATGGCCACCCTTTTTCTTTTTGTACTGGTACTGGGCTTTGAACTCAGGGCCTGGGCATTGTCCCTTGGCATTTTTGCTCCAGATTGGTACTCTATAACTTGAGCCACACCTCTAATTCTGCCTTTTTGCTGGTTAACTGGAGATGCACAGACTTTTCTGCCTGGGCTGACTTGGAGGCTCAATCTGCAGAGATCAGCCTCCTGAGTAGCTGGGGTTACAGATGGGAGCCACCAGAATAAGACAAACTACCAAATAGATTTCCCAACTGAAATTTCTTTTCAGGCAAGCTTAGATGAGACAAACTGATTCAAGTCTGTAAAACTAAAGATAAGAAACCAGTTCCATGATGTTCTCCAAGCACAACTTAGAGCGTTCCTCAAGGAGGCAAGAGTTTTCGTCCGTGGGATCCTGGAAAGTTGTTCTTCCGGCATCTTCTTCAGGCACAGGAAGCGATTTTCAGACCCTCCCTGGATATGAGGAGGACTGTTTAGACTGGGACAATCAGATTCCACAATGAGGAGGATTCCACTTTACTAACCAGTCACCAGAATCTAGAGGCACCTGGCAGTGGAAATTGTGCCCAGAGACATGTGGCCAGACCAGCAATGCCTGAGATGCACGGAGACCCACAATCAGCGTTTCTGATGTAACAACAATGACTTGTTCCAAAGGTTTCAGACAAAATAGGAGCCAGCATTTCAAACAGAAACACAAAAATATGTAAAGGGAAATATCAGAACTGGTTACTGGCGCTTGAACTCAGGACCTGGATGCTGTTTCTGAGCTTTCTTGCTCATGGCTAATGCTTTATACCACTTGAGCCACAGCTCCATTTCTGGCTTTTTTTGGAGATTAATCAGAGATAAGAGTCTCACAGACGTTGCTGCCTGAGCTGGCTTCAAATCAGGATCCTCAGATCTTAGCCTCCTGAGTAGCTAGGATGGCAGGCATGAGCCAACATTAGCTAGGATGAGCATTTAAATAAAGATTATGTTCAAATCTTCTCATTTTCGCCCCTCTGGCTTTTTTTCCATTCTAGTTGCTTTCTTTTTTTCTTTTTTTTGGTCATGGGGCTTGAACTCTGGGCCTGGGCGCTGTCCCTCAGCTCTTTTAGCTCAAGGTGAGTGCTCTACCACTTGAGCCACAGTGCCACTTCCAGTTTTCTGGTGGTTCATTGGAGATAAGAGTCTTACGGACTTTCCTGCCTGGGCTGGCTTTGAACTGTGATCCTGAGATCTCAGTCTCCTGAGAAGCTAGGATGACAAGCGTGAGCTACCAGTGCCCAGCTCTAGTTGCTTTTCTTAAAAAAAAAAAAAAAAAAATCACACTTCAACTTTCTGCCTTCCAATGATTCCTCCTGGTCAAGAAGATAAATTACTTCTCAAATTTTTCTGGATGGCTGAAAAAAAATCTTTAAAATTAATACCTCTTCTTATTTCTTCTGAAAACAATCCCTTCCACCAGGCTAATATCTTTTTTTAGGTTGAAACTGGGAATCAAACTCAGTGCCTGATGCTTTTGCTCACTGGCTGGTGCTCTACCAATTGAGCCACACCCTCAACCCTTAAGATATATATTTCTTTTTTTTTTTTAATGGATTGTCTGGAAGTTAAATAGAAGCACAGAGGAATGGTAGCATCCTCCACTTTCAGGATGCGTTTGCAATGCTCGCTCCGCCAGCACCCTTGAGCATGAAGTCTAAGCATGTATGCAAAGCAGAGCCAAATAACTCACCAGCTTCCCCTTCCTGTGTCTCCCAAATGTGACAAATGTCATCAAGGCCACCAGAAAAACTTATTCCCTTCCACTTTGAAAGTGAGAAAGAAAAGATGCACAATGGTCTTAGAAATGTCTCATTGCGTAAAAATGTCATACGGGAGTACAGGAATTAGGAAATCCAAGCCAGATTCTGTAAAGGGGTAACATCAAAGTAAACAGGATATCACTGACCACAATCTTAGAATAATTGATCCAAAATGTGGTCTGAGCTTTGATAGCACAGGATTCTAATGCGAGGAATTCTAAAAGCAGCAGATTCAGTGAGCGATAAATACTCTAATATGGCAGTCTATAAAGAATATACAAAGAACAGAGAAGATACCAGAAGATGATGCTTCAGAAATTCTTAACTGGTATATTTTTTTGGTGGGAGGTGCTGGTCCTGGGGCTTGAACTCAGGGCCTGGGTACTGTCCCTGAGCCTCTTTTGCTCAAGACCAGAACTCTTACCACTTGAGCCACAGCTCCATGTCTGGCTTTTTTAATAATTTAGTGGAGATAAGAATCTCAGACTTTTCCTGCCTGAGCTGGCTTCAAACCAGGATCCTTAGATCTCTGCCTACTGAGTGGTTATAATTGCAGGTGTGAGCCACTGATGCCCAGCTATAATCTACTGTTTTTAGGATAGTTCACAAAATAAAAACGCAAAGCAGGTTTGGAAGCTTCTCAACAATTTCCTCTTAACTTGTTCTAGCTTTAAAAACAATGATCTTGTCAACATGAGAATAGGAAATGAAGTATCAGGTTCAAAGGTAACTTTTTTTGCTGTATGTGTGCTGGTATCGAGGCTTGAACTCAGGGCTTTGGGTGGCTACCCCTTCACTTCTTCACTCAAGGCTGGCATTCTACTATTTGAGCCACAGCTCTACTTCCAGCTTTTTGTTGGCTTGGAGGCAAGAGTCTCATGAACTTTCCTGTCTAGGCTGGCTTTAAAGCATGATCCTCAGATCCCAGCTTCCTGAGTAGCTAGGATAACAAGCATGAGCCACCAGCACCTGGCTGGTAATTTCTTTCTTTTTTTGGTCAGTCATGGGGCTTGAACTCAGGATGGGGACATTGTCCTTAAGCTCTTTTGCTCAAGTCTAGCATTTTACCACTTTGAGCCACAGTGCCACCTCTTGTTTTCTGATGGTTAATTGGTGATAAGAGTCTCACAGATTTTTCTGACTGGGCTTGACTTTGAACTGCAATCCTCAGCTCTCAGCCTCCTGGGTAGCTAACGCTACTGGCACGTGGTGGTAATTTCTATTTTTACAAGGCTTCTTCAAGATATGACTGCCAACAGGCTCATATAGCCAGCTGTAATATAATTCTTTCAAATGTGCAAGTGACCTAGCTACAAGATTTGAGTATCTGTTAGCTAATAGATTTAATATATGCTAGAAGGAGGGCCGATTTTCCTTAGTTTTAAAGGAGTGGAAATTAAATGCTATATTAGTAGATTAGTAGAGCATCATTCTTGAGAAACTTCTGAAAAGGAAAAAGAAAAGACATAATTATACTCACACCACCAGCAAAACCTCTGGTCACCTGTTTTGGGCTGTGGAATGCTCCCAGAAGCCGAGAGACCTACACCAACAACAGAGAAATGTCACACACACACACAATGAAAACAGGGCGTCACAGGGACAGAAAGCTCCTCCTGAGGGCCGGCATCTGGGAGGAGGCCAAGCACCACTTTCCTCTTAAGTATTAGCATTGCTACTAGTAGTAGAAGCAGTAGCATCTCAAAGTGGCTAACTGCTCAGATTTGAAGACCTAAGTATTTGATATTTAACCCTTGATCCAAGAACATAAGCACTATACCTTTTCTTTCTTCCTTTCCCTTCCTTCTTTGCTCTCTCCCTCCCTTCCTTCTTCCTCTCTTTCCTTTCTCCCTTTCTTTCTTTCCTTCCCTTCCCCCCCCCCCCCCCCCAGCCACTACTGGAGTTTAAAATTAGGGCCTGAGGGCTGTCCTTTAGCCTTTTCAGCTCAAAGCTGGTACTCTACCACTTTAACCACAGGTCCACTTTCAGCTTTTTGGTGGTTAACTGAAGATAAAAGTCTCACTGATTTTCCTGCTCAGGCTAGCTTCAAACTGTGATCCTCAGATCTCAGCCTCCTGAATAGCTAGGATGACAGGTGTGAGCCCTCAGCACCCAGCAGTAACATGCTTTTTTAAGAAAAGTGATGGAGCTGGGAAAGTGGCTCAGTGGAAGAGCGCTTGCCTTGCATGCACGAGGCCCTGGGTTCAATTCCTCAGCACCACATAAGCAGAAAAAGCCAGAAGTGGCTCAACTCAAGTGGTAGAGTGCTAGCCTTGAGCTGAAGAGCTGAGGGACAGTGCCCAGGCCCAGAGTTCAAGTCCCACAACTGGCAAAAAGGAAAGAAAAGGTCAAATTCCACACAAAGGCCAAAGGCATTAAAATTGACTAAAAATGTTCACATAATTTTATTCATGGTAGATCCATAAAGCATAAGACATTGGTTATGTTCTGATTAAGGAGGCTTCCTCCTTGGGGCCTGAACCTTTACTAAAGTACTAGGACCTTTGCTAGAGACCACAAGGGGGCAGAAGGGGAGAAGCATGCACTGTACTTACTAATCTCTAAAAATAAGGAAGATGTGGGACCTGAAGGAGCACTCTAAATTGAGCATCTGGTGGCTCAAGCCTGTAATCATAGTCACTAAGGAGGCTGAGATCTGAGGACCACAGTTCAAAACCAACCAGGCAGGAAAGGCTTTGAGATTCTTATCTTCAATTAACCACCAAGAAAACTAGAATGGCAGGAGCTGGGAATGCGGTTTAGTGATAGAGTGCTCGCCTACCATGCATTAAGTCCTGGGTTCAATTCCTCAGTACCACATACACAGAAAAAGCCAGAAGTGGCACTGTGGCTCAAGTGGTAGAGTGCTAACCTTAAGCAAAAGAAGCTCAGGGACGGTGCCTAGGCTCTGAGTTCAAGCCCTAGGACTGGCACAAAAAACAAAACAAAACGCCTTAAATGGTAAAGTGACAGCCTCGAGCAAAAGAAGCTAAGGGTCAAGGCAAAGGCTCTGAGTTCAGGCCCAAGACCAGTACCAGTACGAGCACCACCACCAACAACAAAAAAAGCTTCCTGAAACCTTGGAAACTTTGGCCCAGCCTAAACAGGCTTGTGATTCACCAAGGCTGGTGGGCTGTAGGCGGTGAGTTCATTTAAAGTTCACTCTGTAACAAGCACTTTGAGAAAATTTGCAAGTCTCTCTCCACTACACTCAATCTTCAACCCTGCAGAGAAGAAAAGCCCGTCACACGTCACACAATAGAGGCTCCAGCTGTGTGACAGAAGACCTCATCAAGAAAATGGGCTTCAAATGCAAATCCAGGCATGTCCTTTAGTGATTTGCTTCCAATTGGGTCCAGTGTCTAAAATAGTGCCTGCCATAGTAGGTGCTCAGTAAATACCCTCTGAAAGACTGAGGCCAGCCTTAAGCCCTCCATTCATTGTTCTAGCTAGGGAGTCCTATCTGATTTAAAATACAGTCATTGATGCGATTATTTATTTATTTTTCATTTATGTTAGTACTGGGGCTTGAGCTCAGGACTTGGGCACTGTCTCAGCTTTTTTACTCAAGGCTGGTGCTCCACCACTTAAGCCACATCTCCCCTTATGGTTTTTGCTAGTTCAGTGGAGATGAGAGTCTAATGGATTTGTCTGCCCAGGCTAACTTTGAACTGTGATCCTCAGATCTCACCCTCCTGAGTAGCTAAAATTACATGTGTGAGCCACCAGGGCCCAGATTGATTCTCCTTAATAACTAACCATTTCCATACCTGACATTTCTTCTACATGATTTCAGGACAGATAAGTAATAGTCAGACAAAGTTACTTTAAGTATAATTTTTTTTTTTTTTGGGGGGGGTGTTGGTCCTAGGGCTTGAACTCAGGGTCTAGGCACTGCCCCTGATCTTTTTTGCTCAAGGTTAGCTCTACCTCTTTGAACCACAGCTCCACTTCCGGTTAATCAGAGATAAGAGTCTCATGCACTATCCTGCCTGGGCTGGCTTCAAATCAAGATCCTCAGATCTCAACCTCCTGAGTAGCTGTGATGGCAGGCCTGAGCTACTGGTCCTAGGCTGAGTAGGATCTTTTAAAGCCTAGATTGGATACCTCAAGGAATCCCTAAAGCCAGCTTCAGATTCTTGGCCACCTAATACCAGTTCCACATTTTCTTTTCACCTTCTATTCCAACATCAGAACAAATAATATGATGTGAGAAGTGGGGCACCAGGCACGCAGTAAGTGCCTGCTAAAGGAAAGCAAGCTCATTATTGTAGCGTGCAAAAGGAATGTCTTTAGAAACCCGCTATTTTCTCTATGTGAAAACCTTTTCAAGCTGCAGTCCTCCTCCTCACTCTCCAAAAAACCTTAACTAGAAACTCAGTAGAGAAGCCGCTATGATCAGAACTGATATCCAAAGTGAGTGTGGCAGTGCGTGCCTGCAATCCCAGTACTTCAGAGGCAGAGGCAAGAACCTCTCCATTTTGAAGAGCAGCCTGGGCCACACAGTGACACTCATTAAAAAAAGAAGGGAAAAAGAAAAAAGAAACTGGCTCAGCTTTCCTCCTGAGGCACCAATCCCCAAAGGAAGAAAAGTGGCTCAGAGGTCAAGCCACTGCCAAAGGTCACACCGAACCCACGTCAAAGGACATCTCATCTTCTGATGTGTGTGTGTGTGTGTGTGTGTGTGTGTGCGCGTGTGCGCGTGCCAGTACTGACTGGGGCTTGAACTCAGGGCCTGGGCTCTGTTCCTTAGCTTTTTCTCTCAAGGCTGGCAATCTACCACTTCAGACACACCTCTACTTCCAGCTTTTTGCTGGTTAATTGGAGATAAGAGTCTCATGGACTTGTTTGCCCAGTCTTTGTTTGACTTTGAACCATGCATGATCCTCAGAGCTCAGCCCCTTGAGTAGCTAGAATTATAGGTGTGAGCCTCCAGCATGTGGCCTGAACTCCTGCTATGAAGACTTTCCTTGCAGATTTCACTAAAGGCAAAACATTTACCAGCACCTTCATCACTTCTAGTGCAGCTTAACTCTCGTTGAAGGCTTCATTCCCATATCAAAGATGAGTCAGTGCTAGGCCACAGTGGCTCATCCTAGTTACTCCGGAGGCTGAGATCTGAGGATCCAGTGAAAAGCCAGCCCAGGCAAACAAATCCTTAAGAGTCCTATCTCCAATTAACCACCAAAATACCAGAAGTGGGATGTGGCTCAAGTGGTAGAGCATCAACCTTGAGTGAAGAAGCTAAGGAACAGTGCTCAGGCCTTGACTTCAAGCCCTAGTAATGGCATGTGCATACAGGTGTGTACACACACACACACACACAGAGATGAATCAGTGAATCAGGTTATTAAGCCCAGTGATCAAAGGACTGATTTCTCTTAACAGTGACACACCCTCTGGAGCAAATTCAAATCTGAAGAGAGTGATACAATACTGAGCAAGAAGCCAATTACTGATGCCCAAGAACAATTCTTCTGCTTCATCATTTCCAAGATAAACATATTGATAGCTAAGAAAGCTTCAAACTTCCGTACTTCTCCTACGAGTACTACATACTTTCAGTGTAGATATTTTACAGGTGGGCCTATAATTTATAGGCTCAGAGATGTTCATTTATTCAGGGTCAAACTATTCATGGCATTGCCCAGATTTAAACCTAAATAGTAATATAGCGATCTTAGTAACAGTGTGTTTCTGAACTTCTCTTGAAACTGAAAACAGGAGAAATGTTATAGATTTTATTTTATTTTTTTTTAGTAGTAGATTTCTAGGGAGCTACCCCTCAACAGCAACAGGAGACCTAAGGCCTATTTCTCCCTGTACCGTACCCATAATTTGCTGCGTGACCTTGGCCACAAAGCAGGCAGAACTGGCTTGGAGAATCTGTATACCCTGCCCCAGCTCTGACAGTGACCTCTCATGACCTTGAGTTAAGTCCATCTTGGAGACGGGTTGGCCGGGTCTCTAAGGAGCCTTTCCGGCCCGGGCATCTGAGCTGTCAAGGAGAGAGATGGCAGGATCTTCCCCCAACCCCTCCGATAAAAGGTAAATGAGGAACGTCCCGGGAGTAAGATGTGCTGGGTCCTTTGATGGGGACAGAGATGTGAGCGAACCAGAGGTCAGACCGAGAAGAGCTCCAAGAGGAGACCTGGCCGGAAGGGCGGCCCCGGGATCCCCGGGCAGGTCCCCCGCGCCCCGGCCCGCGGCAGGGCTGCGGGATCCCCGCCAGGCGCGGCCTGGGCCTCGCTGCGGGGCTGTCCCGCCGCCCGCAGGCGGCAGGGCCGAGCGGTGGGGCCTGGCGACCTGCCCGAGCCCGGCTCGAGGCCTGGGTCCAGCCCCGGCGGGGGCTGGGGGTGACATCCGACGGCCCCCCACCCCGGCCCGCCTTGACCTTGACGCCATCCCTGCCTCGGGCGCGCCGGTCCCGGCGTCGGTCTGGTCCCCAGCCGGCGAGAGCGCGGGCCCGTGGCGCCCCAGAGACCCACGCCGCCTCCTCAGGGGTCCCCCGCGGGCTCCGGGCCCTAGCCCCGGCCCTGGCCCGCCTCGCATGCGGCCCGATGGCCAGCCTGTCCCCGCCGGCCCGCCGGCCCGCGCCCGCCCTTCCGCGCTCACCTTGGAGACCCACGCGGAGCCGGCCATCGTGTCCGCTCCCCTCACCGCGGGCGACAGCAAGACGCGCGCGCAGCCGGCGCCCAAAGCCCGCCCCCCGCGGCCACGCCCCGTACGTGACCACGCCCATCCATCGCTCCCCGCCTTTGGATTTATCCTGCTCCTAGACGCGGTGGCTCACGCTGACCAATCACCGGGCTGGATATCTGTGACGTCACACGCCGGCGATTTGCGGAGACCCGGAAGCGGCGGAGCCCTGATCTCCGAGACGCTGGGTCGCTCCTCATTCATTGATGAGCTGTCTTGGAGCAGCGGGCGTCCTGCACCTGTTGCTTGCTCGTCGGCCTTCGCGATCTGGGGGAAATGCGCCTCGCACGGAGCTTACAGCCGGGGGGCTGGAGACAATGAATTTACTTGTTCTCCAGGCCTGTCCAGCTTCATCTCGTTTATCTCTATGGTTCTGCAATTTCTTGAGAACTAGATGCCAGGCCCTATGTTAAGTCCTGAAGTTCATAGTTCAATAGGAAGGATGAGAATTGATTAAAAAAAAAAAATGTGTAAACTATGATAAGGGTTAAGAAACAAAAGTGAAAGCTAGGTTCTGGTGGCTCACCTTTGTTATCCTAGCTATTCAAGAGGCTGAGATCTGAGGATTGTGGTTCAAAGCCAGCCTGGGCAGAAAGTTCTGTGAGACTCTTAGCTCCAATCAACCACCCAAAGCTGGAAGTAGAAATGTTTCTCAAGTGGGAGGGTGTCAGCCTTGAGGAAAAAAAGCTTAAGTGTCCAGGTCCTGAGTTCAAGCCCTAGTATCTGCACCCCTTCAAAAAAAAAAAAAAACTATTTCAAAAGAATATTAGCCACACATAATCAGGTTACTAATTCCACCATACAAGAGAGGCCAGAGAAGGTGTCTCTGAGGAAATGTCCATATTGGTGACCTTCTACTCACAGGGCCCCTAGGAAGGCTGCAGGGGAAGATCCCTGAAACGAGTCTCACTTTCATCATACCTTGGAAGGGCTCTATCTGGACAATCACCACATACCCAGAAAGGAATGAATGCGATGGATAAAAGATGTCAACAGCTCTCATGAGACAAGGCACTGGTGTCTCACACCTGTAATTCTAGCTACTCAGGAGGCTAAGATCTGAGGAAGCCCAGGCAGGAAAGTCTGTGAGACTCATCTCCAATGAACTACCAAGAAAACTAGAAGTGGAGCTGCGTCTCTTAAGTGTTAGAGTGCTAACCCTTTCTGTCTAGGCACAGCTCTGACCAGAGCTCAATAGTCACTAAAACCTTCTGGTTGTTCCTTGATCTTCTTTTGGTTGTCCCTTGTCATTGCTGGGGTGTGTGTATGTGTATACGTGGAGGTGGAGGTGTGTATATATAGAAGTGTATATGTGTGTTTCTGTGTATATGTATATGTATGTATATGGGTGTGTATGCAAGCATGTATGTATGTATATAGGTGTGTATGTATGGTTATATGTATGTATGTAGTGTGTATATGGGTGTGTGTGTTTGTGTGTGTATATGTATGTGTGTATGTGTGGGTATATGGGTGAATGTGTGTGTGTGTGTATGGATGTGTGTATGTGTATGTGTGTATATGGGTGTGTGTGTCTCTGTGTGTGTGTGGTATATGCATGCATACACCAGTACTCAAGCTTGGCTTTGTACTCATACCCTGGGCATTGCTCCCCCTTAGCTTTTTCACTCAGGGCTTCCACTCTACCACTTGAGCCACAGCTCCACTTCCGGCTTTTTTGCTGCCTCGTTGGTGATGAGTCTCATGAGTTTTCTTGCCCTGGGTTGGCTGTGAACCACAACTCTCAGATCTCTGCTTTCTGAGCAGCTGAGAGAGAGAACAGGTGGAGTCCGCAGTGCGCTGCCATCACTGTCTTTTTTTTTTCCAGCCCATTTTCTGTCTTTCACTTCATTCATTCCCCAGCACTGGAACACCGGCCAGGTAGCTGTGCTAGCCAGTCCCCAAACTCCTCTCCCATTTTTCACCCTCTGTGCCCAGGTTTTTCCTCTGGTCCTTCTGCCCCATCCCCTCTTCCCACACCTCACCCCGCTGAAGTTCCAGACATTCCTCAAAGACTCAACTCCTTTGGGATACCCCATAGACCCTTCCATGTGCTCCCTACCTCCTACTCAGAGCCCCAGAAAAGTGTCAAGCCCTCAGGATTGAAGTGGGTCACAGAGGCTCCATAGTTCAACTCTCAAAATAAGGCATTTCCTGCCTCCTGGCCAGGTAGACAACCATAAGGGGAGACAGAAGTGGCCTTACTCTGAGAGAGTCACAGGAAACTTCCAGAAGCCCCAGCCCCAGCTTCTCACCATTCCTCTAGTATTGAACCACTCACCATCAGACAATCTCCTTTGTCTGAATCCCTAACATACTATCAGCAATCTATGTTTGGAACACGTGTGAGGAAAATTCAGCCACTCAGAAGAATCTAGAAGGATCTATATCTGTGACTACTGTACTACCCATCCAGAGGTACTTCACCATGAGAAAGAAGTGGTATTTTAATCAAAGGAGTAATGGTTTTAGAGGATGGGGTAGAATACCTTCCTAACATGTGTGAGACCCTGAATTCAATCCTCATCACTGCAAGGAAGATGATAGATAGAGAGATGATAGGTAGATGACCAATAGATGGATGATAGATAAATAGATAGATAGATAGATAGCACTATAATATGCTGTCCAGTTGACAATAAAATTAGTACACTGCAAGTTTTAGTTGTACTTTAGAAATTGTCACAATCTTTCTGGAAAACAGTTTAGTCACGTTTCTCAAGAGTTAAGACACCAGTAACTCACGCCTGTAATCCCAACTCCTCAAGAGATTGAGATCTGAGCATATCAGTTCAAAGTCAGCCCAGGCAGACAGATCTGAGAGACTTTATTTCCAATTAACCAGCAAAAACTGGAGGTGAAGATATGACTCAAGTGGTAAAACACCATGCTTCAGGGATAAAGCCAAGCAAGAGTGCAAGGCCCTGAGTTCAAGCCCCAGAACTAGCATAAGAAGATGTACTCCTAGTAGACATATTCCTGAGAATTAAATCTCATCAAAGAAAAAGAAAACTGCAGAAAGAAAAAGCCACCAGCACAAAGATATTCATTATAGAATCATTTATAATTTTGAAAATGAAAAAGCTTAAATGATTAACAAAGGAAATAGTTATGTAATTTAGGTTAAATGAATTAAATTGGCTACAGAGCCCTCACAAGTGATTGTTATGAAGAACCCATAGCATCTCATTACACATTTGTGATTTAATGTTTAAAAAAAAAAAGGTCAGGCCAGGCGCCTGTGGCTCATACCTATAATCCTAGCTACTTCAGGAGGCTGAGATCTGAGGATTGTGATTCAAAGCCAGCCTCAGCAGGAAAGTACCTGAGACTTTTCTCCAATGAACCACCAGAGAACTGGAAGTGGCTCTGGGGCTCAAAGTAGTAAGTACTTGCCTTGAGCAAAAGAGCTTAGGGACAGTGTCCAAGCCCTGAGTTCAAGCCCTATAATTGACTAAATAAATAAATAGATTCAGGCCTAACTACTCAGACCTAAGGATGGATGTTCAAATCCAGCCCAGACAGAAAAGCCTGTGAGACTCTTATCTCCAATGTACCAGCGAAACGCCAGAAATGGAGTTGTGGCTTAAGTGGCAGAGTGCCAGCCTACTAATCTTAGCATGTGTTAGGCCTGAGTTCAATCTCCTGTACACACTCTCTCACACACACACACACACATGCCCACTGATGCCCAGTGTCAGAGCTCATCCGACTTGAGCTAAAAAAGCTAAGGGACGATGCCCAGGCCCTGAGTTCAAACACCAGCACCAGCACATTAAAAAGCCCAGAGGACAAATGGTCAGATGGAAGGAGACAGGATCGTCTCAAGCCCCATGGATCTCACAGTAATTAGCCATGCTCTGACAGCTCTGTTTTACTTGTAAACATATTATTTTGCTTATTGAACTCTGGCCAAAAGATCTGTCCCCCAAGGCTTTGGGGGGAGATCTGTATGTGTGGAAGTGTAACCCAGGGAAACTGATCAAATTCAATTGGCCTGAACCATCTTTCATTTGCTTATAAAGCAGAACCTAGTTGCTTTCTCTGCCAAGTCCACAGGTCAAGTGCAGGAGGCGCAGTGTAAACAGAGAATGCACCCCACAGCACAGCCCCCATGATGTCCAGACCGGGGCAGCTGAGCCTCAGGCTTCCAGGGTAATGGAGTGAACACCAGAAAGCTTGGATCCTGGTTCCCTAGGGTGGACAGAGGAACTCCCGTCACTTTCAGAGGAATGACATTCATTCTCAGTGAAGGTTCCAGAACAATAATGGACACTCCTGAAGCATACCTGGTTCTAGGTTTCTCATCCTTTGCATGAACTTCAATTTCCATTTCCTATTTATCGATAAATAGAGTTATTTTAAATCTCCAAAGGGTTCTGAAGCTTGTGATTCATATAAGCAATACCTTGTAACATCTTTTTAATATGCCTCTGAGCAAGCCAGGCGCAGTGGCTCAAGCCTGAAATCCTACCTACTAGGGAGGTAGAGATCCAAGGATCACAATTTGAAGCCAGCCTGGGCAATAAAGTTCAGGAACTCAAGAGAAAAAGGGTGAAAAAGTGCAGCGGTGGACACTGATGAAAGTGAACTGTACCACTGTGGGTGGAGATGGGAGGGAAGGACTGCGAGAGAGTGAGGGAATAGAAGACACTGTGTGAAAGAAAATGTAGGGCTGGGAAGGTGGCTCAGTGGTAGAGCGCTTGCCTTGCATGCCTGAGGCCCTGGGTTCGATTCCTCAGCACCACATAAGCAAAAAGAAAAAAGCCAGAAGTGGCGCTGTGGCTCAAGTGGTAGAGCGCTAGCTTTGAGCTGAAGAGCTGAGGGACAGCGCCCAGGCCCAGAGTTCAGGCCCCACAACTGGACCCAAAAGAAAGAAAGAAAGAGAGAAAGAAAGAGAGAAGGAAAGAGAGAAAGAAAGAAAGAGAAAGAAAGAAAGAGAAAGAAAGAGAGAAAGAAAGAAAGAAAGAGAAAGAGAAAGAAAGAAAGAGAAAGAAAGAAAGAAAATGTAATGCATGTAATTATAATCCCTCTGCATATCGCCTCTATAATAACAATAAAGTAAATTCATAATACAAAAAAATAAACTAAAATACAGCCTGGGCCCTAAATTGGAGAAGTAGGATCCTGGATCCTGGAAAGATGCTATGGACAGCCAACCTCTGATTTCCTTCAACTTTCTAGGTCAGAGGTTAGCAAATCCAGCCCACTGTCAGTTGTAAATAAAACTTTATTGGAACTTGGAAAAAAAAAGTATGGGAGACTCCATCTCAGTCAAGGGCTGGGCAAAGTGTCATACTTCTTTGGTCTCAGCAGTGAAGGGCAGCATGTTTAGGGGGATCAGAGTCCATCAGTAAAGCTAGGCCTTAACTTGATATAACCAGTGCCACCAGGTCCTGGTAGCTCATGCCCATTATTCTAGCTACGCAGAAGCTGAGATCTGAAGGAGCCAAGCTAGAGGCCAACTGGAACAGATCTAGACTCCATCCATAGCAAAATAATCAGCAAAAAGCCAGGCTACAGGTATGGCTCATGTGGTAGAGTGCCAGCCTACTAATCCTAACATGTGCTAGGCTCTGAGTTTAATCTCCTGTACACACACACACACACACACACACACACACACACACACTCTCAAATAGAGCTTGAGCATGCAGATGTTGATGTGGATAAAAAAAAAAAAAAAAAAAGGTCTTTTCTTCTGAAAGCTAAAAGGAAATGAATGACATCAACATCCTGACTATTCAGATTTTCAACCCTCCAAACACAGAAATAAGTATTTGAGCATTCAGGTGCTGCCTTCCAGGAACCCACACAGTGAACCAAAATTCTCAGCAGCTACACACCGCTTGGTTTTGATGGGTGCACGCCTCTCATCCTCGCTGCTCAAGGGGCTGAGATCTGAGGATTGAGATTTGAAATCAGCCTATTTGTCTCTAGTTAATCAGCAAAATAGCAGAAGTGGAACTATGGCTGAAGTGGTAGTGTGAATGAAGACGCGATGGAAAGCCACCAAGTCCTGAGTTCAAGCCCCAGTACAGGCACTAAATAAATAGTAAAGGTGAAAGAAAGCATTTAGGTTTTGCCAGTTTCTTGGGTCTTCATTTGAAGGCTCTCTTGTTGTATTAAATAAATCTACAAGATTTTCTGCCTTTAGTGTGTCTTCTGTGAAATTAATTTTCAGGCCCAGCCTGGGATCCTAAGAGGATATGGATAAAAGTTTGTGTCCCTAAGGGGCACTAAATGGCATTTGCTTAAAACCCCAAGAGGCCGCCGCCCTGGCCTTTGTCACACTTCTCTGGACACAGTAAGCTGTTGAAATCCTCTCACGTACCAAAGAGTGTGGGGCAAATCCTGTCCTCCACTCTGGGGAGCTCAGGGCCTGGCGTGTCCTGGCCAGTCAAGGGCCAGATAGGCCAGGCCGAGCTCAGAGGTCGATGCGGGAAGGAAGAGCTGGGCCAAGGTCGGGTGCTGAGGACTCCCGGCCCGGGCCAGGAGGTGACTAGATGGTGCTTGTTCCACCGCCACCCCCCTTGCAGGGATTCCCGCATCCAACACCTTCCCGCCACTCCCGGGGTGAGTCCCTGGGGTCCCTGATGGCAGGAGGTGCTGGTGGACCCTGAAGGACAGCAGCGTGACCAGTGCGCGCCACGGCCACAGCGCCCCCCGGAGGACTAGGATCGCACTGCAACGGTAGAGCCCCGCCACCTCCCCGCTCGCAGGGGGCGGAGCCTCCTCCGAACTGGGTGCATTCTTAGACCCGCCTCTCCCTCTCTCTGGGGGCGGAGCTTCCCCTAAACGGTGCATTCTTAGCCCCGCCCCTCCCTCTCTCTGGGGGCGGAGTCCCCTCTACATTGGGTCCTTTCTTGGTCCCGCCTCCACTCGTGGGGGCGGAGTCTCTGCCGCGCGGGTTCCAGTGTGGGCCCTTCTCTCCCGCTAGGGGCAGAGCCTTCCCACGCTGGATCCAGTCGTGGCCCTGCCCCTCCTCACCCTGCCTCTACACTGGGTCCAATCTTTGCTCCGCCCCTTCTCGCGCTAGGGGCGGAGCCTCTGGCGGGATCCAGTCTTGGCCCCGCCCCATCTCCGACTGGGGGCGGAGCCTCCGGCGGGGTCCAGTCCTGGCCTGTGGCTTGCCGCCTCTCCGAGCGGAGCGGGGCGGGGCGGAGCGGGGCGGGGCGGGGCGGGGCGGGGCGGGGCGGGGCGCGGCGCGGCGGGGGGGGCGGGGCGGGGCGGGGCGGGGCGGGGCGCGGCGGGGGGGCGGGGCGGGGCGGGGCGGGGCGGGGCGGGGCGCGGCGGGGCGGGGCGGGGCGCCGCGGGGCGGGGCGCCGCGGGGCGGGGCGGGGCGCGGCGGGGCGCGGCGGGGCGGGGCGGGGCGCGGCGGGGCGGGGCGGGACGGCGCGGGGCGGGGCGGGGCGGGGCGGGGCGGGGCGGGGCGGGGTGGCGCGGGGCGGGGCGGGGCGCGGCGCGGCGGGGCGGGGCGCGGCGGGGCGGGGCGCGGCGGGGCGGGGCGGGGCGCGGCGGGGCGGGGCGGGGCGGGGCGGGGCGGGGCGCGGCGGGGCGGGGCGCGGCGGGGCGGGGCGGGGCGGGGCGCGGCGGGGCGGGGCGGGGCGGGGCGGGGCGCGGCGGGGCGGGGCGCGGCGGGGCGGGGCGGGGCGCGGCGGGGCGCGGCGCGGCGGGGCGGGGCGGGGCGGGGCGGGGCGGGGCGCGGCGGGGCGGGGCGCGGCGGGGCGGGGCGCGGCGCGGCGCGGCGGCCCCCGGGGATGCTACCCGCCGCGGAGCTGGCCAAGGCCGCGGGCCGCGGGGCTCCGGGCTCCCGGGGCGGCTGATGGGAGGCGGCGGCCCGGGCAGGCGAGCCACCGCGCGGCCGTCGCCATGGGGAATAAGCAGACCATCTTCACGGAGGAGCAGCTGGACAACTACCAGGTGAGCCCCGCCGCCCTGGCGTCTCCTCCACAGGCCTCCCTGGAAGCCAGTCACCTGGGTTCAAACCCTTCCTCTGCCCGCGGCGCCCAGCCTTGACCTTGGGCCGGTGATTCCCGCCCCGGAGCCTCTGTTTCTCCACTTGGGAACGAGAGTGTCTTCCGGATGGAAGATTCTGTCGTGGCCACCTCGGTCACTTGTCCTCTCTTCTCGGGGTTTCTGGGCACCCCGGGCGGCCCTTACCCCACTTCAGTGCCAATAGTCTCGGCTCCATCCCAGGAAGGGCTGCAGGGGGTGCATCGCCCCCCGCCCCAATCAGGTCTTAAATTAGAGGTATCCCGTTAGGGCATCTTCCCTTTGCTCCAGGACAGAAATAATTGGAGCAAGAAGCCAGGTTCTATGCGTGCAAGCCAACTTTTAAAATCCTCTCTGCACCCCAGCAGCAACTCCTGGCCCCAGACCTTTCTGGGTTGCTGAAGTGGTTGTCCAGGCCCTGGAGCCTGGGTCCCCTCACGTCTTGGGCCACCTCTGAACCATTCCCCCGCCCCCCACTGCACTACCCAAGCTCTTTCTTTCTCCTGCCGTTGCCCATCCCCCAAAGTTTCCATGGCCTGGAGTGCCTCTTCCCTGCTTTCCACCTTGATCACCCTCATCCTTCAAGATCCAACTCTCAGGCCAGGCCTGAGGGCTCAAGCCTGTGGTCTTAGCTACTCAGGAGACAGAACTGAGGATTGTAGTTCAAAGCCATCCCTGGCAGGGAAGTCCATGAGACTCTTATCTCCAGTTAACCACCAAAAAAGCCAGAAGGGGAGCTGTGATTTAAGTGATAGAGCACTAGTTTTTAGCAACAAAGCGAAGAGACAGCGTCTGGGCCCTGAGTTCAAGCCCCAGTACTAGCACAGATGCACTCTCTCTGTCTCTGTCTCTGTCTCTGTCTCTCTGTCTCTCTGTCTCTCTCTCTCTCTCTCTCTCACACACACACACCCTCTGAATCCCCCAGGCAGACCTATTTTGTCACCTGTTCCTAGATTAGAAGACAGGGACACAGTAGCTACCTGTCTGTCCCCTTCATGTATACTTAGGTTGGTATGAAGGAAAAGGACATTGTGCAGTCTCTTGAAGTGGATTATTAAACCCACTTTACAGGCGAATAAACAGACACTAAGGAGCCATTCAGTACCTTCCCTATGTGAGATTCACATAGAATTTGAATGGTGCTCCAAGATTTGTCCCCAATCATTTGGGATGATGCTAGACCAGGTGTTTGTTTGTTTTTTCCTGTCAATTTTTTTTTTTTTTGGCAGGGATGTGGATTTACTTCTTGAACTCAGGGTCTAGGTGCAGTCCCTGATTTTTTGTTTTGTTTTTTTCCCCAAGGCTAGAGCTCCACTTCTGGCTTTTTGTTTGTTTGTTTTGTTTTTTGGTGGTTCACTGGAGATAAGAGTCTCACAGATTTTCCCGCCAATGCTGGCTTTGAATTGTGATCCTCCTCAGATCTTAGCCTCCTGAGTAGTTAGGGTGACAGGCGTAAGCCACCAGTACCTGGCTAAATTTCTTTATTATTATTTTTATTATTATTTTCTTCTCTTGGGCTTAGAGGTGGGGGCAGGGGCAGGAGTGGGACAAAGATCCCCTTTGCTTGGCATGGATCTGACTATTGGGTGGCGTGAGGCCCAAGTAGTATAAGCAGGTGACAGGTGCGTTCTAGGGAAGGGCACACATGGGCTGGAAGGAGACTCCTGCCTTGACAGGAAGGTTCAAAGACCACACAAGCTTGAGTGGTCCTAGAAGATAGCGACAGGATTTTGCCCACGATGACGTGAAAGGATCCACTCCAGGCAGAGGGGACAGCTTGGATAAAAGCTTAGAGGAAGGCATGGATAAATGGTCCATACCCAGCGGGGAGGAGTGGCCTGGCAGTGGGAAAGAGCCTGGGTCTCCCTTCAGACAAGCCCGGCATTGGGTTACCGTTTGGACAGAGCCTGTCTCAGCATTGAGTTCCGATCCTGGCTAGACTGTGCCAGGCAGGGTGGGAGAAATAAGAGCCAGGAAACCTAAGAACCCCACATCCCCTTCCCTGTGGCTCTCCAGCCATGGCCAGTGAGGCCTGGATGGGCGGGGGCTCCCCCAAGCTATCCGGGACTCTCCAGCTGTTCCTGGTGTCAATGATCCCTGCAATTAGACTTCTGTGCAGACAATTCCTCTAAGTCATTCATCCCTTTCCCAGACCCCCTAACAGGCCTCCTCCACTTTTTCCACAACTGCTTACACCATCCGTCTTTCCAGCTGCTGCTCCCAGACCACCTTTGTAGTTAAGAGCAAGCCCAGTGGGAGGCTGAAGTGAGGCTCAAGTGGTAGAGTGCCAGCCTTGTGTGTGAAAGTCAAGGAAGACCTCAAGGCCCTGAATTCAAGCCCCAGTTACCACCCACACTCAAAACACAAGCCCTGCGACTCAGTCTCTCTTGCTTCTTGGTTGTTTTGTTTCGTTTTGTTTTTTGGTCAGTTGTGGGGCTTGAACTCTGGGCCTGGGCGCTGTCCCTCAGCTCTTCAGCTCAAGCCTAGCACTCTACCACTTGAGCCACAGCACCATTTCCGGCTTTTTCTGCTTCTGTGGTGCTGAGGAATGGAACTCAGGGCCTCATGCATGCAAGGCAAGCTTTCTACCACTGAGCCACCTTCCCAGCTCTCTCTTGCTTCTTACCTGGAGTTCCACACTCCCTCCACCCTCTTTCCTGGCCTCCATAAACCCCAGGAAACAGAAGTCCAACTTCTTGCCCAGCCTCCAGTCACAGACTTTTTTTTTTTTTTTTTTTTGGTCATGGGGCTTGAACTTGGGGCCTGTGTACTGTACCTGAGCTTTTGTGCTCAAGGCTAGCACTCTACCACTTTGAGCCACAGAAACTTCCAGTTTTCTGGTGGTTCATTGGAGGTAAGAGTCTCACAGGTGCCGGTGGCTCATGCCCGTAATCCTAGCTACTCAGGAGGCTGAGATCTGAGGATCACAGTTCAAAGCCAGCCCTGGCAGGAATGTCTGTGAGACTCTTATCTCCAATTAACCACTAGAAAACTGGAAGTGCCTCAAGTGGTAGAGCACTCGCCTTGAAATGAAGACTTGAGGGACAGTGCCCAGGCCCAGAGTTCAAGCCCCACAACCAACAAAAGAAAAGAAAAGAGTCTCATGAACTTTCCTGCTCAGGCTGGGTTTGAACCACAATCTTCAGATCTCAGCCTTCTGAGTAGCTAGGATTATAGATGTGAGCCACCAGCACCTGGCTGATATTATTTTATTTTTTCCTTTGAAAGTAATCTACGTACAGGCCACATTTGTGTCAGTAGCTTACACCTGTCATCCTAGCTACTCAGGAGGCTGAGATCTAAAGATCATGGCTCAAAGCCAGCTCAGACAGTAGAGTCCATGAAACTTTTTTTTTGGTCGGTCATGTGGCTTGAACTCAGGGTGCTGTCCCTGAGCTCTTCAGCTCAAGCCTAGCTCTCTACCATTTGAGCCACAGCACCACCAAATCTTGGGGCTTGAACTCAGGGCCTGGGCACTGTCTTTTGCTTTAGGCTAGCACTCTACCACTTGATCCACAGTGCTACTTCCAGCTTTTTTTGTTTATGTGGTACTGAGGAATCAAACCCAGGGCTTCAGGCTGAGAAGCTGGCTCAGTGATAGAGCGCTCGCCTTGCATACATGAGGCCCTGGGTTTGATTCCTCAGCATCACATAAGCAGAAAAAGCCAGAAGTGGTGCTGTGGCTCAAATAGAGCACTAGCCTTGGGCTGAATTGGTGAGGGACAGTGCTCAGGCCCAGAGTTCAGGCCCCACAACCAAAAACACAAAAAATAAAACAAACCCAGGGCTTCATGAATGCTAGGCAAGCACTCTTCCACTAAGCCACATTCCCAGCCCCATGAAACTCTTATCTCCAATGAACCATCAAAAGAAGCTGGAAATGGGACTGTGGCTCAAGGGGTAGAGAGCCAGCCTTGAGCAAAAAAATAAAAATAAATATAACCTCAGGAAGAGCACCTGTGGTGTGAGTTCAAGCCCCAGAACTGGCACACAGAAAGAGAGAGAGAGAGAGAGGGAGGGAGGGAGGGAGGGAGGGAGGAAGGAAGGAAGGAAGGAAGGAAGGAAAAAGTTGAGCCCCACCCCTAGAAGAGAGCCCTCCGCAGTCTATGGCATATCAGGTGGCTCAGAAGGAAAACCTCATTGGGCTACACAGGGCCTAGAAACTTCCACCCCTCCCCTGTTCCACCCAGGGAAACCCTAGCTGCCCCATGCAATCCTCTTTGGTCATGAAATCCAATCACCCTAGTGGCCAGCGCCTTTCAGATTCTCTAGAGCCAGGCTGTCTGTCTGAAAGGCTGTGCTGTGGCCATTTGCCCACCAGAGCAGGAGGCCTGGGACTCTGCGCTCTGCGAAGGCCAAGGGCAGAGTAACTGAATGGTGGGGATGAGCAGGAAAGCCCTTCACAGGCCGGCATTCATCTTAGCAAGTGCTGGCCGCTTTGCATCTCCCAGCTTCTCTCCCAGGCCCTGTCTTATAGCCATCATCCAAGACTCCAGTGGGTTTATGAATTTACTTTTTTACCAGTCCTGGGGCTTGAACTCAGGAACTGGGCGCTGTCCCTGTACTTCGTTTGCTCAAGGCTAGCACTCTACCACTTGAGCCACTTCTGGCTTTTTCTGAGTAGTTTATTGGAGATAAGAGTCGATTTTCCTGCCCTGATTGGCTTCAAAATATGATCCTCAGATCTCTGCCTCCTGAGTAGCTAGGATGATAGGTATGAGTCACCAGTGCCCAGCTCCAGTGTTTTGTTTTGTTTTTCAATTTTTACTTACTCTGAAATGGCCAGTCGACGGACAGTGTAAGTCATTTAGCTAGACAGGCCGGCTGGGCATTGGTAGCTCATACCTGTTGTCCTAGCTACACAGGAGACTGAGATCTGAAGATCATGGTTCAAAGTCAGCCAGGCAGGAAAGTCCTTGAGACTCTTGTCTCCAAAAAGGCAGAAGTGGAGATATGGCTCAAGTAGCAGCATGCCAGTCTTGAGGGGAAAAGCTAAGCAAGAGCATGAGGCCTTGAGTTCAAGCCCCAGTACTGGCATAAAATTTTTTTAAAAGATCTTTTACAGGTTGCTGATAGTTCACACCTTTAATCCTAGCTTCTCAGGTGGCTGACATATGAGAATCCTGGTTCAAAGCTAGCCTGGGTAGAAAAGTGCACAAGATTCTTATCTCTAATAAACTACTCAAAAAACTGAAGTGGTGCTGTGGCTCAAGTGGTAGAGTACTAGGTTTGAGCACAAAAGCTCAGGGACAGTGCCCAGGCCCTGAGTTTAAGCCCCAGGATTGGCACGCATGCACACGGGCACACACACACACACACACACACACACACACACACACACACACACACACACACACACACAGATAGACCTTCTAAGGAGAGTCTATGATCCAATGGCCTAGAAACCACATGCGTTCGCCACCCTAGGCCCACCTGGCCTCCTATCTCTCTATCCAGACATTATACCAGCTGCTGTCCCTCCTCTTCCTCTCTGCTGTGTTCACTTCATCCATTTCATCCATTCCTCCAGTCCCTTCCTCCTTCCCTGTAGGTGTGAACTTATATGCTCCTTTTTAATTTTTGTGCCAGTACTGGGACTTGAACTCAGGACCTTGACTCTGTCCCTTAGCTTTTACATTCGAGGCTGGCACACTCCCACTTGCATCACACCCCTACTTCTGGCTTTTTTTTTTTTTTGCTTGTCCTGGGGCTTGAACTCTGGGTCTCAGCACTGTCTCTATGCTTCTTTTGCTGAGCCAGAGCACCACTTCTGGCTTTTTCTGAGTAGTTTATTGGAGATAAGAGTCTCCTGGACTTTCCTGCCCAGGTTGACCTTGAACTGGGATCCTCAGATCTCAACCTTTTGAGTAGCTAGGATGACAGGTGTGAGCCACCAGTTCTAGCCTCACTTCCAGACTTTTTACTGGTTCACTGGAGGTAAAGGTCTCATGGACTCTCCTGCCCTGGCTGACTTCCAATTGTGATCTGCTGATCTCAGCTTCTTGAGTAGCTGGGATTGCAGGTGTGAGCCTGGCTGTGGTCACCTGATCTGTCATTCCTGTGGTTTCAGAAGCCAGGCATTGCTGGTGATTCCTCTGCCCATATGGCTGGACATATCAGCCACAAGATGTGCTCTGGGCCACTCAGGACTCACTGTACATTGCATGCCTGCTCACAACCCCATCTTCAGTGCCTGTACTGGTTCACACCCTGTGGGGCCTCCCTGAAGACAGTGGAATTGCCTCCTGCCTGCCCCTGTTTTCCCAAGGTCTATCTCACCAGCTCTCACATCTGCTGCATCCATCTATGACTCCCCTTCTCTCCCCTGAGCCCCAAGGGTGCATCGGGTTCCCAGGGCTAGTACTGGAGGCATTGTCTGGATCCATTAGAATCATTGGTCCCCCAAGGGAGGGGTAGCTGGGTCTCTCCTATCTCCCCAGTCCCCCCAGACCAGGGCTGTCCAGTGGGGCCCTGAGGATGGAAGGAGGGGAGAGAGGGAGAGAGGAAGGAAGCAAGCTAGGAAGTTGGGATCACTTAGGCTCTCTCTCTCTCTCTCTCTTTGTCAGTCATGAGGCTTGAACTGTGGGCCTGGGCGCTGTCCCTCAGCTCTTCAGTTCAAGGCTAGCACTCTACCACTGGAGCCACAGCACCACTTCCAGCTTTTTCTGTTTATGTGGTGCTGAGGAATCGAACCCAGGGCCTCATGCATGCAAGGCAAGCGCTCTACCACTGAGCCACCTTCCCAGCCCTCACTTAGGCTCTTGTGTGTTTTTCCTTCCCAGGACTGCACGTTCTTCAATAAGAAGGACATCCTCAAGTAAGTATGGCTCTCTGTCTACTTCTTTGGGGCTGTGGCAGGGGTGAGGCTGGGGACCCCATGTGCCCTGGCTATGGGTGCCAGAGTTGAAGAAGAGCCATCGGAGTCAAGTCCAGGGACCAGCTGCTCCCCGGATGGCTGTGTAGGCTCAAGAATGTCCCTTTCTTCTTCTCTTCTCTCCTCTTCCTCCCCTCCCCCCTCCACATCTGCTTATTATGGGCTGGACCAAGGTAGAGAGCTAAGGCACATTTTCATTAGGGCCTCACTGCGGCCTTGTCACAAGATGATCTAGTTATCAAGCTCACGCCTGTAATCCCAGCTACTCAGGAAGCTGAGACAGGAAGATCACAGTCCAAAGCCAGCCCAGACAGGAAAGTCTGTGAGACTCTTACCTCCAGTGAACCACCAGCAAGCTAGAAGTGGAGGATGTGTGGCTCAGGTAGTAGGTAGGTAGAGTGCCAGCCTTGAGGGAAAAAGCTAAGCAAGAGCATGAGGCCATGAGTTCAAGCCCCAGTCCTGACACATTAAAAACAATAATAAAGATCTTCTTGTCCACTTTTCCAGATAGGGCTTAGCACCTTGGCTAAGTCACACACCCAGGATCTGGAGGCCTGGCCTGGCTGCAGGTCCCTTGCTGTTCCTCTGAGCTGTGGGGCCCGCTGCCCCTGTCTGTTAGGCTAGGGGACCCTCAGGGCCATGTGGCTTGAGGCCCTGATGTCTTTCCTGAGCTGTCTTACATGTTCTCTTCCTTCTCCATTTGCCAATTGCTCTTAAGGGGTATGGGAGCGGGGTCCTGGACAGGAAAGATGGAAGGGGGGAATGAGGCCAGGACACACCCAAGCCCCCCAGCCCTCCCCCCCCCCTCTTCCTCAGAGCCCCAGCCACAGCCAGTGAGCAGGGATCACAGAATGCTAGGAAAGCTGCCCCAAGGGGCCCCTTCCACGCAGGGTGTCAGGTGACGCTAAAAGCCAGCGAATTCTCAGGATCACTTTCCCTGAGGATCGATGGCCAGGCTGGGCCTAGAACCTGGCACAGAATCCCCAGAGAGCTGGGCTCTGGTCTGTCCTTGCCCTGTCCCCTCACCACAGTGAGAGACACTTCACTTCTACCCACTGAGGAGAGGTAGGGTGAGGAGCAGAACCCCCCCCCCCCCCACACACACACAGGCCTGGCCTCAGACCCTGGTTTCGAATCCCACCTCCCAGCTCTGTAGCCTTCTACAAGGTTTGGCCTTCTGGAAAGTGGGGGAACCCCAAAGCATGATGCCACTAGCTGGGACAGTACCTGAGTGTACAAAGGTGGCACTTCCACTGAGAAAAGTGGCCACAGAGCGGTCACCCTGGCCTTCTGGTAGCCCCCCTGAACTTTTAGGTCTCTCGACACAACTCCCTCTCCCCCCTTACCATACTTGGGGGAGCTCCTAACACCCTAAACCCCCACTTTTGTAGATGCCAAGCCAGGCTGTGTGTCCTCACCACAGCCCATACTATGCCCACTATGGCCTTTGTCAGTTCCTGTACCCACAGCATCGCCATGCCTGGTCCAGATCAGCTCCCACACTTCCTGTGGTAACCCGCCAACTCTCTGCACTTCCCTTCACTCCCAACTCAGGCTTTGTGGGGGTGTGGGTCCTCAGGTCACCCCACCTGAGTTGGGTCTCTGCCATGCTGCCTGTTACTGGTGAAGCCTCAAAAAAAGCCTGTGGGTGAAAGATTGGAGGGTCATGGAGACAAGGACATGGACCTGCTCCCCCAGCCCTCCACTCATCCCTGCAAGCCACTGAAACACTGTGACACATTTTGGGGTATCCCTGGCCCATTGAGAAATAAGCAGGGGATTGCAGAAAGGCAAGAATACTCAAGGAAGGGTCCTGGCTCCCCACAGACCCAGCCTGCCCAGTTCTGAAGGCTTTAGCACTCCAGCCTTTGTTATTTTATTTATTTTTGTTGGTCATGGGGCTTGAACTCTGGGCCTGGGCGCTGTCCCTCAGCTCTCCAGCTCAAGGCAAGCACTCTACCACTTGAGCCACAGCGCCACTTCCAGTTTTCTGGTGGTTAATTGGAGACAAGAGTCTCACAGACTTGCCTGCTTGGGCTGGGTGCCAACCATGATCCTCAGATCTCAGCCTTCTTAGTAGCTAGGATGACAGGTGTGAGCCACTAGTCCCCCCTCTTTTTTTATTTATTTTTTTGTACCAATGCTAGACCTTGAACCCAGGGCCTAGACACTGCTCCTTTACTTGTTGTTCATCAAGGCTGGTGCTCTACCAGTTGAGCCACAGCTCCACTTCTGGCTTTTTGGTGGCTCACTGGAGATGAAGAGTTTCATGAACTTTCCTGCCTTTTGCACTTCAAATGGCGATCCTCAGACCCCAGCCTCCTGAGTAGCTAGGATGTAAGGTGTGAGCCACTGGGACCCAGCCCAGCACCCCAGCCTGGGGAGATCAGTACCAGTGCAAAGGCCAAAAGCCTGAGGCCTTCCAAGTGGGTGAAGGCCCCCCCAAGGCAGCTGGACACCCCCACTTCTGCTCGGCCCAGCCCGTTCTGTCCCTCGACGCCCCATTTCTGCCTGGCGCTGCCTGTTGTATCCCTCGTGCATTGAGGTCCTGCCTCTTGCTCATCGCACCTTAGGGACCCCAATCAATCATGGGTGTGTGTGTGTGTGTGTGTGTGTGTGTGTGTGTGTGTGTGCAAAGCCTCATGGGAGCCGTCACACAGCCCCGGGGGACGTCAGGACCAGGGACAGTGATCACACCGGAGGAAGGGCTGCTGGGGCCGGCCACAGCCCACCCTCAGGGAAGGGCAGCCAGGGGGGGCGTGGCCCTCCCCACTCCCCGCACCCCGTCCCCGCTGCGAGGCCGAGCCAGGGTCAGGGTGGCAGCGGTGCGTGGGTCAGCCTCAAGGCCGGCTCCGCCCGTCCCCCGGGGGGTGCCCTCTCCCAGGCCGCCGTGCCCCCCCACCCTGGCGGATGTCTTTGGTAAGCTGCACCCCGAGCACAGACCAGATGGCGAGGCGGAAACCCGAGCGCGGGGCTCTGCGTTACAGCTCCGGGCCGCTGCCAGGCAGTGGGTCAGTGACACCACCGGGGACGGGCGGCGGGGCCAGCGCTCTGCCCTCCCCGCCCCGTGCCCGCCTCGGCCCCGCCCCGCGTCCCTGGCCCCGCCCACAAGGCCCCGTGCCCGCCTCGGCCCCGCCCCGCGACCCTGGCCCCACCCTCTGCACCGCCCCTGTGCCAGCATCGGCCCTGCCCCCGCCCCGCCCACAAAGCCCCGCCCCGCGCCCCTGGCCCCGCCCCTATCCCCCTCAGCCCTGCCCCTGCCCCTCAGCCCTCAACCCTGCCCCCTGTCCACACCCCCTCTCCTGTCCCCTCTCCCTGGGAAAATGTAATCGCACCCCTCTCTTATTATTCCCCAGCTGAGTCTCAGCAGGCCCCACCCAGCCGCACATCCTGTTTACAGCCCCTCTGTTCTCTGCCGGGGACTTAACCAGCGTTCATGCCTGTAATCCCAGCTACTCAGGAGGCTGAGCTATAAGGATCTTGGTCTAAGGCCAGGCCAGTTAGAAAAGTCTCTGAGACTCATCTCCAAGCAACCATCAAAAAGCCAGATTTTTTTTTTTTAATTTTAAGCCAGAAATAAGCCTGTGACTCACACTTGTAATCTTAGCTTCTCAGGAGGCCAAGATCTGAGGATCCAGGTTCAAAAGCAGCCCAGGCAGGGAAGTCTATGAGACTTTAAAAAATTTTTTAAATTACCTTTAACTAGTTGTACAAAGGAGCTGCCATTTAACAATGCAGTTTATGAACACAACATATCTTGATCAATGTCATTCCTTATCTGTGAGACTCTTACCTCCAATGAATCACCAAAAACCTAGAAGTGGAGCTGTGGCTCAAGTGGTAGAGTGCCAGCCTCGAGCAAAAAAAAAAAAAAAAAAAAAGCCCTCAGGGACAGTGCTCAGGCTCTGAATTCAAGCACTAGGATGGTGTTTGTGTGTGTGCGCACACGCGCACACACACACACACACACACACACACACAAAGCCAGAAGTGACTCAAATGGTAGAGCACCAGTCTTAAGTGAAAAAGCTTAAGGATAGCACTCAGGCCCTGTGTTTAAGCACTAACACAAAAAAAAAGAAAGAGAAAGGAAGGAAGGGAAGGAGGAAGGGAGGGAGAGAGGAAGGAAGGAGGAAAGGAAAGAAGGCAGGGATGGAAAGGAAAACAATGAGTCTGTCAATTGTGTATGAATTACCAATTGCTTTAAGGGCAAGATTTTTCCTCCATGCAGGAAGTAAGAAGAGAGGAAGCTCTTGGGCGCCCACTTGTGGTACAACGGGGCTAGATCCTCCCTCCTGGGTATTTCCTGACTAGCTTCTACCCACAGTGCAGGAAGCTGGAGATTTCTTGCCTCCAGCTGTTTCCAGGAGCTTCTCCGTGATTTCTGGTCCTTTTTACAAGGAACATGTGCTTTGAGCTTTTCTTTTTTTTTTCTGGTCGATTGTGGGGCTTGAACTCTGGACCTGGGAGCTGTCCTCGGCTTTTCAGCTCAAGGCTAGTGCCCTACCACTTGAGCTACAGAGCCACTTCCAGCTTTTTCTGCTTATGTGGTGCTGAGGAGTTGAACTCAGGGCCTCATGCATGTGAGGCAAGCGCTCTACCACTGAGCCACCTTCCCAGCCCCCCCCCCCCTTTTAAAATTCTATTTGCCAGACACTAATGATTCACACCTGTCATCCTAGTTACTCAGGAGGCTGAGATCTGAGGATCGTGGTTCAAAGTTAGCCCAGGAAGCAAAGTTCATGAGACTCTTATCTCCAATAAACCACCAGAAAACTGGAAGTGGTGCTGTGGCTTAAGTGGTAGAGCACTAGTTTTGAGCAAAAGAGCTCAAGGAGAGTGCCCAGGCCTTGAGTTCAAGTCTCATGACCGACCCAAAAAAAATTCTATTTGCCTCAGACAGGCTCTGAAATAGGAGATGAGGTGTTCTTCCTCCAGGCTCCTGGGCTTACAGGGAGAAAATGGAAGTCCTGGGTTCAAGTCTTGTCCCTGCTAACATGCCCTTAACCCTTGAGCCTCAATGGGCAGCTAACATCTACCTCTCATGGTGGCTTTCTTCTCACTGTGACTTTCCCAGAGAGCACGAGCCCGGGCCTGGAGCCAGGTGAGCCACTCGGACGATGGCAGTTTAACACTCAGCTAAACACCCAGAGTTGGAGGAACCCAAGGGTGGGGTGACTGGGCCAAAGGAAGGCTGTGGGCACCTGACCCTTGTGGCTCACGCCTGTCAGCCCAGCTGCTCAGGAGGCTGAGATGGAGGTTTGAAGCCAGCTGGGAGGAGACAAATCTGACTCTGAGCTCCAATTAGCCAGCAAAAAGCCGGAAGTGGAGGGATGGCTCAAGTGGTAGAGCACCAGCCTGGAGCAAAAAAGTGAAGGGAGAGCGTGAGTTCAAGCCTCTAGCTGTCTCTCTGCTCTGTCTGTCTGTCTCTCTCTCTCACACACACACACAAAGACCCTTAGGAAAGCCCAGGAAGGGGAGAGTGGACTTGGCCCCAGGCCCCAGGGCCAGGGGTAATGAAGGTGTGAATGGCACACATCAGGTCCTGGCCGAGGATGGTTTTCAGAGGCTCAGGCAGGGTGACATGGGTCTCTGGGAGCTCAAGGCTCAGTGTGCTCCTCTGCTTCTCTGGAAGACTCCACGCCCGGTTCTATGAGCTGGCCCCCAACCTCGTCCCCATGGACTACAGGAAGAGCCCCATCGTCCACGTGCCCATGAGCCTCATCATCCAGATGCCGGAGCTCCGGGTAGGTGAAGGCGGGGCTAGGGGCGGGGCCGGGGTGGTGCAGGGAGGAGCCTGGCACGGGGCGGGGCCTGGCGAGGGGTGGGGCTTGGGTCAGGGGCAAGCCTGGGGTGTGGTCTGTGAGCTGGGGGCGGGGCCTGGCGCAGGGGCGGGGCCCGGGACTCAGCAGCAGACAAGCCTAGAGCAGCCAGCCATTCCCAGCCTAGCCTTGAACATACCCTGATCTCCTGCTCCCCCTATTGAGGACGCCTGTGTAGGATCTGGACTTGTAAAGTGAGCTCAGCCCACGCACGGGCTAGGTGCCCACTGTCCATCTGCATATGTTATGGGTTTCTTACATACTGCAGTCTGGGTGTCAGCAATCAGGCCTGTAATCCCAGCAACTCAGGAAGCTGAGATCTGAGGATCTCAGTTTGAAGCCTTCCTAGGCAGGAAAGGCCCTAAGATTCTCATCTCCAGTTAGCCACCAAAAAAAGCCAGAAGTGTTAGAGCACTAACCTTGAGAAAAGAAAAAAAAAACCTTCAAGGGTTAGGCCTTGAGTTCAAGTCCCAAGACTGGCACACAAAAGTAAACAAAGAGAGAAAAGAAAAGAAAAAGAGAAAGCAAGGAAGGAAGGAAGGAAGGAAGGAAACCAAACGAGTTAAGTAGGGGACATTAATATTCTCCCTTTATAGATAGAGAAACTGAGGCTTGGGAGATTCAGGTGGCCTGACCAAGGCCAAGTGTGCATGCACCTGGCTCTCCATCTGCATGGTATTTGGGTGATGGTGATGGTGACATTGATCTCCCCCAGGAAAACCCCTTCAAAGAGAGGATCGTGGAGTCCTTTTCTGAGGAGGGCGATGGCAACCTCACCTTTAATGACTTCGTGGACATGTTCTCTGTGCTGTGCGAGTCGGCACCCCGGGAGCTCAAAGCAAGCTACGCCTTCAAGATTTACGGTAGGGAGACAGGCATCCGTAGCTCACACCTATAATCCCGGCTACTCAGAAGGCTGATGGCAAGTTGAAACCAGCCTGGGCAGGAAAAGTCTGTGAGACTTTTTAATCTCCAATGAATCAACAAAAAGCTGGCAGTGGAACCTGTGGCTCAAATGGTTGAACTCCAGCTTTGATAGAAAAAGCTAAGGGACAGTGCCAGTCTAAGAACTGGCACCAATTAAAACAAACAAACAACAAAAAACCCAAAGCCAGGCTCCGGTGGTTCATGCCTGTAATTATAGCTACTCAGGAGGCTGAGATCTAAGGATTGCGGTTCAAAACCAGCCCAGCCAGGAAAGTTCATGAAACTTTCATCTCCAGTTAGCCTACCAGAAGTGGTGCTGTGGCTTAAAAGTGGCAGATTGCTAGCCTTGAGTTGAAAAGGCTCAGGGATAGCACCCAGGCCCTGGGTTCAAGGCCCACAACCAAAACACAAAAACAAAAACAAAAACCACCAGGGGGGAAAAAAGTGAACTTGAAGAATCTGTAGGCCAGATTCTGGGGACCTGGGCATTGGTGATAAGGTCAGGGACCAAGGCCTGCCCCCTCTCCCCTTCCCAAACCTCCTTCCCATAAACCATAGGCAGGCTGGTTTCTCCAGTTCAGCCCTCCTGCCTCTTCTCTCCCTGGTCACCAGAGGGCGCTAAGCAATTGACTCTCCATGGCCAAAGAAGACTGGCTCCAAAGTCCACCTGCCTACCAGCCTGGGCCTGATCTCCAAGACCCCGTATCACCTTTTGAGGGTCTTTGGATGCGGACAGCAGGGCCCTAGTTTGGGCTGACACCTATCCTGGACCAGAAGACTCCCACAACAACAAACCTCTGGCCAGGCACTGGTGGCTCATGCCTGTAATCCCAGCTACTCAGGGGGCTGAGATCTGAGTATTGTAGTTCAAAGCCAGCCCAGGCAGGAAAGCCTGTGAGACTCTTATCTCCAATTAAACACCAGAAAACCGGAAATGGAGCTGTATGTAGCTCAAAATGGTAGAGTGCTAGCCTTGAGAAAAAGACTTCAGGGAAAGCACCTAGGCCATGAGTTCAAACCCCACAACCAACAAATGAAAAGAAAAAAGAGCCGGGCACCAATGGCTCACACCTGTAATCCTAGCTACTCAGGAGGCTGAGATCTGAGGATTGTAGTTCAAAGCCAGCCCGGGCAGGAGAAGACCATGAGACTCATATCTCCAGTGAACCATCAGAAAACCGGAAGTGGCGCTGTAGCTCAAATGGTAAAGCCCTCATCTTGAGCTAAAGAGCTCAAAGACAGTGCCCAGGCCCAGAGTTCAAGCCCCATGACTGACAAAAAAGAAAAGAAAAGAACCTGTCATCCTCAACACCTTTGGGAAAACCTTTGAGTTAGGGAGGAGATACCAAGGCCATGCAGGGCTGTCTTTTCATTTGGAAAGTGTCATGTTTTATTTCAAAGCAATTTTGTTCTAGAAACATCCGTACACCATACCAGGCAGCACTTGCCTGTCCGTTCTCTGTGAGCCCTGGACTCATGGCTTGTAGCTCCCTACATCCAGGACCCGTTGGTGTCAGGAGGGACTGCTGTCTTCCCCAAAGGGAAGCACAGAGTACCAAAGGGACCCGTTTCCTCTTATTGAATGGACAGAAGAATCTAGGTGGCCGTCGAGCTAGTATGTCCAGAGAATCCCCTCTCCTCTTACCTACCCTGGAGGCCTTCCCAGGGTGGCAAGGGTGTCAGTCTCCTCAGGACATGGGTTCTAGGTCAAGCACTGACCAAAGATGTAGCTGGACAGGGTCTTGCCCTTCCCACTTTCTCCATCTCTGGTGTGGACCCATCCAAGGGCCCATGTGAGGGGGCGGGGCTTAAACACTAAAGGAAGAAGAGGAGGGCACTCACAGCACCACTTCTGGTCATGGGGGGAGGGGCTTTACATCTAGAAAGACTTGGGGGGGGCGGAGTAGGGGAGGGTGGAGGCTTCAACAGAAACTTGAAAGGAAGGAAAGGCCACCCAAGCAGAAGACTCCTCAGGTAGATTCTGTGGTTGAGTTCACGCCTGTAATCCCAGCTACTCAGGAGGCTGAGATGTAAGGATCAGGATAGAAAGCCAACCCAGGCAAGAAAGTCCTTGAGAGTCATCTCCAATGAGCCACCAAGGAAAAAAGTCAGAAGTGGAGCTGTGGCTCAGGGACAGTCTCCAGGTCCTGATTCACACCCCAGGACTGGGCCCATCCTCCCCGACCCTCCAAACCACTGTGCTGTGTCCTGCTGAGGTGGTGCTCAAAACCAAACCACGCTTCCTGCTCTGTGTGTGTACAGAGATTGTAGCCTTGTGGTTTTTTCATCTCCTGACAGGACTATTTTCTGTACTGAAATTTGAACTCAGATCTTTTTGCTTGCTAGGGCAGACACTCTACAATCTGAGCCATGTCCCCAACCTTTTTGGTTATTTTGGAAATAAGATCTCATCTTTACATCCACACTGGCTTGGACCAGGATCCTCCTATTTCCACTCCCTTCACGCTTAGGATTCCAGGCTCAGCTTGATATATTTTTGTTTTGTCGTTTTGTTTTGCCTAGGATGGCCTCAAACCCACTGTCCTCTAGATCTGCTTCCCAAGGAGCAGCGATTATAGGCATGAACCGCTCCGACAGGCGGCTTTTGCATTGGCAGATGAAATTGTGTTTGCCATTTGCATGATGCATGTGCTATCGTGCACTACATGTTGGACTCAAGGCCTGCAGTTTGGAAAACATGGACCTTAAAGTCAAAAGAGGCCCAGTCCAAATTCTGCTCTAGAACTTGGTTTTTCTAGATTTTAGCTCTAGGGGCCATCTGACCAGGGCCTGACATTCACAGAGAGCCTCCAGTTTGAAACTAGCTTAGCCTGTGGTTTTACATTCAGTGGTTCTGGAGGATATTTGTTTGTTGTGTATTTTTGGTCAGTCCTAATGCCTTGAACTCAGGACCTTAAGCGTGGTGCTCTTATGCTCTAAGCCATACCTTCCAGTCTTGTTTTTGCTGGTTACCTTTCAAAATAGGGTCTGGCAAACTCCCCCCACCTCTGGCTAACCTTGAACCATGATCCTTCTACCCTGAGCCTTCTGAGGGATTGGATCACAGGTGTAAGCCTCCGTGTCTGGCAGTTGGGGCACATTTGTGTGTTCAGTATCTGTCCCTTTGGCCCCCTCCAGCTGGGCACAGGGATCCTGTCTCCCCAGTGTGTGCCTGGAGATGCTCTGGGGGGCTCCAGCGTCTGTTGGGGTGACCAGGGTGTCCAGCCAGGAGGAGAGAGGCAATTCAGGGCTTCCTGGGAGAGGGGTGAATTCCTCCACAGCCCTTCCTGTGCCCCGCAGACTTTAACACGGACAACTTCATCTGCAAAGAGGACCTGGAGCTGACGCTGGCCCGGCTCACCAAGTCAGAGCTGGACGAGGACGAGGTGGTGCTGGTGTGCGACAAGGTCATCGAGGAGGCGGATCTGGATGGGGACGGCAAGCTGGGCTTCGCGGACTTCGAGGACATGATCGCCAAGGCGCCTGACTTCCTCAGGTGCCGCCAGCAGGGGGCGCCCACGCGAGCCGGGGGGGCAGGGGGGGGGGCAGCAGGGATGGATGGTGTGGGCCCATGGGACCTCCATAGGCCCTGATGGGCAGGTCAGGAAGCAGACAAGCAGGTTCTAGGCCCAGCTCCCCTCCCGCTGTGGCCTTGTGCGTGGCTGGGCACTGATGGCTCACACCTGTCATCCCAGCTGGTCAGGAGGCTGAGATCTGAGGATCGCGGTTCAAAGCCAGCCAGGGCTGGTTGTTGTGGATTTTATTTATTTATTTATTTTGGTCAGTCATGGGGCTTGAACGCAGGGCCTGGGCGCTGTCCCTGAGCTCTTCTGCTCAAGGCTAGTGCTCTACCACTTTGAGCCACAACACCACTTCCAGTTTTCTTTTCTTGCCCAGGCTGGCCTCGAACCAGGATCCTCAGATCTCAGTCTCCTGAGTAGCTGGGATGACAGGTGTGAGCCACTGGCACCTGGCCTTGCTTTTGTTGTTTTTTTGTGCTGATACTGGGGCTTGAACTCAGGATGTGGGCATAGCATCCTAGCTTTCACACAGGTGGGCGTTCTACCACTTGAACCACACCTACACTACTAACTAGCAGCTCCTTTTCTGATGAGCCTTCAGCCCTGCCCATGACCTCTGTCCTTTCTCTCTCTTTCCAGCACTTTCCATATCCGGATCTGAGGAGCCTGCAGGGGCCTAAAGCCCCCCTCCAGACTTCTGTCTGCACAGGGGTGTCACCTTCACGCACCCCCAGAGCGGGACTGTGGTTCACACTCACGGACACTCCTCGTGGCCCTTTAAGCAAAAAATAAATAAATAAATACGGAAAACTAACCAGGGAAGGGAGTATGAGCAACAGGACCTTTCCCAGGGTACCCCAAGATCTGGTTCTTTTCCGGGGTCTCCTGAACACTGCATGGCTCACCTCCCCCCCCCCCCCCCTCCAGCCAGGCATTGTGGCTCACACCTGTCATCCCAGAGACTCAAGAGGCTGAGATCTGAGGATCATGGTTCAAAGCCAACCCAAGGCAGGAAAGTCTGTGAGACTCTTATTTCCAATGAACCACCAAAAAAGCCAGAAGTGGTGCTGTGGCTCAAGTGGTAGAGCACCAGCCTCGCATGAGAAAAGCTTAGGGATAGTGCCCAGGTCCTGAGCCAAGTCCCACATATTCACACACACACACACACACACACACACACACACACACACACACACAGGAAAACTCCCTGGGAGGGGTTGGCAGGAAGCCTAACAGCCTGGTGACCCCCGTCACCCCCAAAGTCGTGCACACCAGGGTTCAACAAGCTATGCAATCTCTTTTCCAAAGCCCAGCGCAGGACTGCGCCCCGGCCCTGTCAGTCCTTGTCCAGCCGCTGTCCCCAAGCAAAGTTGTACAGGTGTAGGTCCAAGGGCTCCGTCTCTGTCCCCAAGGCATCGCCCCGGAATCCCCCACGCCATGGCCGCCCGGCTGCCATGGGCTGGCCACAGATGTGTGAACCAAGAGTAAATCAGTCCTGTGTCTCACAAACCTGTGTCTGTCACTATGGAGAACATTCTGGGGTACTGCTTCACTTCACCCTCCGGACCCCACGAAGGTGTTTCTGACTTGACTTCAAAAGATATTGGCTGACAAGTGTTTTCATGGCTGCTTTGTTTGTTTTTGTCAGACGTGGGGCTTGAACTTGGGCCTGGATGCTGTCCCTGAGCCTCTTTGTTCTCAAAGCACTCTACCACTTGAGCCCCTTCTGTTTTTCTAGTGGCTCATTGGAGAGAAGAGTCTCATGGACTTTCCTGCCCGGGCTGGCTTTGATCATGTGATCCTCAGATCTCAGCCTCCTGAGTAGCTGGGATGATAGGTGTGAGCCATGGCGCCCGGCCAGACTTCCATATGGAGGGTCTCTGATCAGGCCCTCACTAGGTGTGGGTCCTCATCTATAGCACAAAAGGGTTGGGCTAGGATTTGCCTAGCTTATGGAGGCTGGGGTGCAGGGAGGAGCTGGGGGGCAATTCTGGGGGACCAGAGTCAAGGCCACAGGCCTCTCTACCCCCTGAGGCAGGAGCAGAATTGAGGCTTTGGTCAGGACCTTCTAGGTTTTTCTCAGGAGGGGAGCTGGTCTGGTTTTTCCAGAGCAATTTTGTTCAGTTCTTATTGGTGTTTGTTTTGTTTTGTGTCAGGCCTGGACCTTGAACTCATGACCTAGTTTTTATCCCTCTGGACTTTTTCATCCAAGGGTGGCACTCTACCACTTGAGCCACAGCATTATTTCTGGCTTTTTGTTCCTTCCTTGGAGATAAGAATCCCCCAGACTATCTTGCCTGGGCTGGCTTTGAACCGCCATCCTCAGATCTCAGCCTCCCAAGTAGCTGGAATTACAAGCGTGAGCTGCCCCCCCCCCCCCCCCGGTTTATCAGAAGCAGTTGTGTGATGTCACCCGTCCAGTTAGGAAAGAGAAAAAAGCCTTTCCTTGGCCCACACACTTGGCAAGTATTTCATGGTGGGATGCAGGCTCAGTCAACCAATCCAGAACTGTGTGCACTTGTCTGATCCATGGCTTTGGAGAGTCCCCTTTCTTCTTTGGCCATAGTCCCTCCATCGCATGGGCAGGAGGTCCTGGAGGAGCAGCATAAACCCAGGAAAGGGTCACGGGTGGCCCCAGGCTCCGTTCCTTCCCAGCCAGGTCTCTGGCTGTGTCTCCTGAGCCTGGTTCCATCCCGGCTGGTTGGGTCTGAGGATGGGCATGACGGCCTCCAAGGAGTGGGGAGCCTTTGAACCGTTTGGCATCGCCTGGGCCTGCATCAGAATCTGTGTTTCTTGTCAAACAGTCTCCGGAGTTTGTCAGGCTGTGGGAGGAAGCAGGTATTGGGATGCGGGTTCTCCAAAGAGGAAGGAAAGACTCCAGCTCAGAGACACTCCGCAGTGGCCCAGTGCCAGGAAATAAGACTTTGTGCCCTCTCCTACGTGCCCTCCCCCTCCTACCCCCCACCCCCGTCCACCACCTCCCCCATTGTCTGAAACTCCATCTGCAGCCACAGAGGTACAATTTACCTCATTCTGGCTAAGAAAGGAAGGCAGAAGAGGAGTATGAAAAGAACTGGCAGGTACTGGGCACTGGTGCTCAGTCATCCCAGCTACTCAGGCTGAGATCTGAGGATCGAGGTTCGAGGCCAGCCCTGGCACAAAAGTCTATGAGACTCTTATCTCTAATTAATTAGCAAAATGATAAAAAGCCGAGCTGTGGCTTAAGTGGTAGGCACAAAACCTAAGGGACAGCACCCAGGCTGAGTTCAAGCCCCACCACTGACAAAAATAAAACAGCCCTGAAAAACAACAAAAGGAGCTGAGGATTAAGCAGGCTCAGGACTGTCATCCTAGCAACTCAGGAAGCTGAGATCTGAGGATCAAAATGAAGGACACCAAGCCAAAGTGCAGCTGTGGCTCAAATGGTAGAGCGCCCATGTTCCAGGACCAGCACACTCACAGATACAGACACAGACACACACACACACACACACACACACACACACACACACACAGAGGAAAAACAAACATGGAATGGGACTCCGGAAGTCCCCAGAGGACAGTGTGTGTGTGTGTGTGTGTGTGTGTGTGTGTGTGTGTGTGTGTGTGTGTGTGTGTGTGGTGGGTCCTGGGGTTTGAACTCAAGGCCTTGAGTTTTCCCTTGGCCTTCTTATTCCAGGCTGGTGCTCCACCACTTGGGCCATACACCCCTTCCAGCTTTTTGCTGGTTCAGTGAAGAGTCTCACAGACCTTTCTGCCGGGCTGGCTTCCTCAAATCTCAGCCTCCTGAGTAGCCGGAATGACAGGCATGTGCACCAGTGCCAGGCAGATACCAGCTACCTCACACCCCCAACCTAGCAGCAATTTCTCTCATCACCACCATCACCACCACCATCACCGCCTCCACCAGCAGCAGGCCTGGAACGTTCTAGGTGCTTCTAGTAACCTGTCTAGCTTGTGGCCTGAGGGCTCCCCCCCCCCCCCCACTCACCACTCACCTTGGATATGCGGCTGGACTGTTTGGCCTTGTCTGCTGGGATTTGCTCATAGGTGTTTCCAGGCCCAGGGACCCCTGGGGCCCCAAAGATCCTCTCATAGCCACAGTCCGCGGGCTCTGACAGTTTGCTGTAGGGGGTACTGGCCGGAAGCTGGGGCTGCCTGGCAGGGGGACTCCAGCAGGCTGGAATCTGCTCGTAGGTACAGCCTCTGTGGCCTGCCGGGTCCCAGGCCTGCTGGAGGCCGCCTGTCTGCACCAGCTCATAGGCATCTGCAGAGCCGTCCTCCGGGCTGGGCTGGGCCTCTGGACTCATCTTCAGAAACCTGTGCCTCCAGGTTGTAGCCGCCTGGGGCCCCAGGGCCTCGTAGCTGGGGGGCAGGACAAATCCCGAGGACGCAGGAGACGCTGGATGACCTTGGTCTGGGCCCTCGGCCTTGTTCTGGTCTCCATCTGGAAGTTTCCTCAGGGTCTCTCGGCCAGGAGAGCAGGCCTGGCTACCATGTTTGCTGGACATCTCCGGGCTTGGGCCTGGTCGTGCGCGGTTCATTTTTCTTATGTCTACGTAGATGATGTCATTGGGACCTGCAAGAGGCTCCTCCAATAGAGAGGCGCTCTTCTCAGGGAGCTGGGGCATCCTGGTGGAGGCCTGGGGGTGGGGAAGGGGGAGGAAGGGAGAATGTCTTAAAGGCAGAAGTGAGGGGTGTGAGTCAGGTATGGTAGCTCACGCCTGTAATCCCAGCTACTCAGGAGGCTGAGATGTGAGGATCCACAGCTCAAAGCCAGCCTGGACAGGAAAGTCTGTGAGAAGCTTACCTCCAACAAACCAGCAAAAAGCCAGAAGAGGAGCTGTGGCTCAAGTGGTTGAGTGCCAGACTTAAGCAAGAGTACAAGGCCCTGAGTTCGGCATGAAAACAAGCAAGCAAGCAAGCAAACAAGCGAAAATACCAATGAAGATTGCTTAGACATCTTCAAGTTGGCTGAACTTTCTGGCTTGGCCTCAATTTATCTCACTTTTCCAAACAAGGGTGGGCATATGACATTCAGAGTCCCGCCCGGCTCTTGTGATCCTAGGAATTTACTTATTTATTTATTCGTTTTTGTGCCATTCCTAGGACTTGAACTCAGGGCCTGGGCACTGTCCCTGAGCTTTTGTGCTCAAGGCCACTTGAGCCACAGCTCCACTTCCGGCTGCTTTTCCCACCTGCACTAGCCCCACCCCCTAAGGGCTCTCTCCTCCTTCAGAGTGGCCCACACTCATGCCCATCATTCATGAATTTTCCCCACCCCACCCCATTTTTTGGTGCCAGTACTGATGTCTGAACTAGGGCCTAACCACTATCCCTTAGCTTTTTGTTTTTCGTTTTTGTGTTTTGGTCCAGTCGTGGGGCCTGAACTCTGGGCCTGGGCGCTGTCCCTCAGCTCTTCAGCTCAAGGCTAGCGCTCTACCACTTGAGCCACAGCGCCACTTCTGTTTTTTTTTTTTCTTTTTTGCTTATGTGGTGCTGAGGAATCGAACCCAGGGCCTCATGCATGCAAGGCAAGCGCTCTACCACTGAGCCACCTTCCCAGCCCTGTCCATTAGCTTTTTTACTCAAGACTGGTGCTCTACCATTTGAGCCACAGCACCACTACTGGTTTGTTTTGATTTATTGGAGATAAAAGTCTCATAGACTTTTTTTTTTGGCCTGGGCTGGCTTTGAACCTCAATCTTCGGATCTCAGGCTCTT